AGGGGGGTGCTACTAAGTACTAAGTGTTGTATGTAGTAGTGGCATTGTATATGAGAAATTGTTGTATGTTGTGTTGTATGTGAGAGAAATGGAGAGTTGAAGGTTGAGAACCCTGTTTTTTAAAAGAATAATGTGGTATCAATTTGTAAAATACCATATTAAATACTAAGCTAATTTATACGCTAGTACCGCCACTGTGGAGGTGGTGAATCTTTATAGGGTAGAGTGTTGTATACAACATACAACATAGAGAGTAGAATCATACTTCGTAAAAATTCCAAAAATAGCAAAACAGGGTAAAGGCCGCTGTCTTCCGAGTTCCCAATTTGTCTGTTCGGGTTCTCAACTACCGCGTGTGGGTTCTATTCTTCAGGGTCCACATGGGTCTTCAGATGACCTAAGCACGGAGGCTAACCTTCCAAGGTTGGAAGAGGGGTTGGGCATTGGAGGATCTATCTTGAAACCAATCATATCTCATCTGGAATGGAATTCATGCATGGATACTCCGTCTATGTACAACATACAACATAGGTGCAGTCCGTACTTAACGACGGAGGATTGCCCTCGTCGTTTTTCCATGTTTTTTGACAGGAAGGTGACCTGTTACTGCTCGCTTCGTATTGCCAGTTAGTGCTGAGGGTTGACTTGCCACATTGCCAACTCGCTTACTCCGTACTCCGTACTCCGTATAGAAGGCTGAGCTGCCGAAACAGTGGGGCTGAAATTTGGAGGCGTTTTCAGAAGGGAGAAAGATGACGCCATTGGGATTGGATGAGAAAGGCACTGCGGAGTACGGAGCGCGGAGTACGGAGTACATGACGGTACATGACGAGTACCTGTCTTGTTCACACACATAACTCATAGATGTCCCGTATAGCACGCTTGTAGACTAGCCCAAAGGACGTCAAGGTGTGAAGGTGATTGCAGGGAATTTCATGCTTTAGAGCCGGCTTCCGTGGGTTCTGTGGGGCTGTGGGGAAGTTTGCGTAAGCCGGTAGTTGATAGTGAAAGCTGCCAGAATGCAGTCGTCCATGAAGAACTTCAGCTCGAAGTCATGATCCCAATCTCAAGTGCGGGCAATAATCAATGTTCAACGGCAAACTAGCAGGATCATCAAGGTTGCAAAGGGTTAACTGCGTGCATCGGTTTACAGCGATGCTAGGAACCTAATCGGCTACTGTGTGTCTGCAAATCTCCTATTTATTGCATGTAGTAAGACGAAGAGGGAAACACCAATCCAATCTGGGAGGAGAGCACAGTACGGGAACAGTGTCTGATCCTGAAACAAAACAACTGTCGGTTGGAAGTCACAGGCGGCCAGTAAGGCCGGAACACCGAGGCCCCACTAATCATAATTTTCATTGGGAATAGCGTGCAGCACCTAAAGAAGGGCAGAGATGAGTTTTTCTCTCAAGTTGTATATTCCGACGGAGTAGTTTACCTCCTCACGGCTGGGTACTATGTACGGAGTGCGCAGCTGGATCGCGCTTAGGGCTCAAACCCCCCTTTAGGAAGGAGATGGTGCCTTGATGCCTTGTTTTGAGAACGGCAGAGAATTCCAAACACCAGAATTAATTACGATTCCATATACCTTATTGATCCACGTGCTCTGGTTCTGCTGGCGTTGTAAAATACACGGCTTTGGACACTATTCCGGTACGTCCTAAAGATGTAGGACGCCCCAAAGCTTCATTTAGTGCTCCGTACATAGAGCATTTACATCACACTGTATAGAGCGGTGTAAAAAGCGGTGCTGATAAAGGCATTCATTCATCAAAGTCCTTCCCAAAAGGGGGTTTGAACCCTAAGTAATTTCGCCGTCCATCCCTGACATCCCGATGAATAAATCAGCACGTCGTCTACGGAGTAAGACTTTCTGGATTTTGTCCGCTGACTACTCCATAGACACACAAGGATAGAGAAATCTTGAGACTCATCAGGTGGTACAGTCATCGTATGTTGGTTTGATTTTGACGTTCCACGTTTCATGGCTGAAGAAAAGTAGATGCACGTGACAACCGCATATTCTATCTCACCTTGTGTGATGCTTAGGGATGTTATATTCCGAAAGTTCAATGGCCTAGCACGCAGTTATATAGGGTGGATCCTCAAATCCATAGTACAAGGGTTACTTGTTCATAGATCTTGAGATGGAGCCGAGTCTGGAATTATGTCTCACGTTGACCTATGTTGATGGGTCCACTGCCTGTAACGAGGCTAGCCCTAATTAGGAAGTTGACTTCATTCTCGGTTCGAGGCGGACTTATGTAATCCCAGGGCGAACTGGAACCAATTAGGGCGGCTTATTATGGACGGGCTTACTCCGTAGATGTGCAGGCCAGAGAAGACAGGAGATGATCAAGAACCCTCGGATTTACCTGTGTCTCATAGAAATACGATCTTAGATTGGATTTCCTTTGATTCAATAGTTCCAAATATCAGAGAAATTGCGTTATATCCTTACAGCATATACTATTCCCTACCCCTTTGCACATGTCCACATACAACTAGTCGCACGCTAGATGTTTACCTAATCTATGGCCTGACATGCACTGCACGTTCTCCGAGGGTTAACTGTCTAACTTGTATTATGCACACTTTTCTTTATTCATTAACCGTGTATCCTCCGTATCCTCCGTCCCTTGGCTACAAAAGAAAATCGTGGTTGCTTTAATGTGTAATTTAGGACACGTATGAGACAAGGCGTGTACAAGATAAGATGATCTGACAGGAGATTCATCTTTTCTATACACCTTTAGTAAGGCGCAGCAGCGAAAGAGGAAATTTGCGGTGAGTTTCGTCCTTTTCTCTCTCTCTCTCTATCTCTATTCATAGAGACGGAGTACGGATAAACAGGGTGAAATAACCTCGGTCCAAATGCAGCCTTAGCCCACCCCTGCAACTTCAATCCAATGATCGTCGACGGGAGTCTCCGCACAATATGGCTAGCACTGCACCAACCTCATTCAGGCCTCAGCCGTGGAGCAGAAAACGGCGCTTATGTCCCATCACCCAATCCCAATTATTGAAACTGCTACAGGGATAGCGGGACAAACGGGTGAAACCCGTTGGACATTAGTACCAACGGGCATTTCAAGAGCTCCTCAGTCTGCTCCTTTCACCCTCCTACCATCCTGATGGGCAAGATTTCGAGCCATGCCAAAATCACCACAAATTGCAGTGGCAGGTTCCTCTCTCCGCTATTCTTTTCGCTAATTTAACACGTTATAGGATACGGATATCTACCTGTCAACCGCCTATGGCGATGATTGGCAGTCGTAAATACTCTCATTTCTCCCGTGATTTTTTACATCCTTGATCTCTAACCCAATCCTAGAGAGACGACGTCTATCGGTTCCTCAATTTATAAGGGCTTGATGGAAAATGGAAGACGGTATGGTTTCATATACATTCGGTGCACCCGAGAGCTCGGCCCGTTGCGTACATATCCTGATCATCGGCAGGTATCAAACTCTGAGCGACAAAGAATATCTGTACGCATGTCATAGCCTCTGTCACTAAAGAATCTGCCAACTGATGCTCGGTTCCCACAAGGGTTCCGTCCGATGACCAGGCATTCGAGTCCTACGAAGTCGGGTACGTACAATTACCCTTTCGAAATGCCAGTCTCAACGTTAACACTGTCAGTCATCTGCTCGCCCTCGTTCTAGATTCGGAACGAGAGAACCCGCTCTTCAGGGCACCCATCGGGAGGAGCCCCAAACATATCCTCGACATTGGAACGGGTAAGGGTAATTGGGCTATGTACGTCAGCAGAGAACCACCCCGTGTCTCGTAACAGACAGGACTAATGCCAATATGACACTTGGATAGTGATGTTGCCGACATGTTCCCATCCGGTGAGTGCCAATCTCCCAAGAATATGCAATGCAGTCAACTGACACCATGTAGCAACGGTCCGAGGAGTCGACCTCTTCCCACCTCCCGTTTCATGGATGCCGCCCAATTGTATCCTCGAAGTCGACAACGTCCTAGAAGAATGGACCTGGAAAAACCCCCTCGACCTGATCCACATGCGGATTCTGGATGGCTCATTCGACTCCGCGGGATGGGATCATGTCTACACCAGTTCCTTGAAGTAATAAGCACCCACGTTTCCTGACACCGATCCCAATCTGCGACCCTGTGTGCTAACACCGGGTCCCTCGTAGACATCTACGGCCAGGAGGCTGGATAGAACAACTTGAAGGTAGTACATCCATCGAATGTGACGACGATAGCCTGCCAGCAGACAGCATCCTGCGAACCTGGGGCCCAACTATGAACGCATGCGGTGCGCGCGGTGGACTCAAGCTCAATACCCTTGATGGCATGCGCGGCATGATGGAGAAGGCTGGGTTTGTGGATATCCACGAGAAGGCATACCAGTGGCCTATTGGCCCGTGGGCTCGAGATCAGAAATATAAAGAGGCGGGCGTTGTCAATTTCCAACATTGGCTTTCGGGGATGGAGGGATGGTGCATGTGGTTGCTGACCCACTTCGGTGCGCCGCATCCTTGGTCAAAGGATGAGGTTACTGTTTATCTGGCAAAAATCCGATCGGAACTTAAGAATCCAAGATATCATATTTATCATAGAGCGTGAGTTTGGGATAACCCTGTGACGGGGGTATTGACGGAGGTGACATGCTGATCCTTGTTTAGACGACGTGTGTGGGCGCGCAAGCCCTTTCCCGACGAGCGTACGCCTGAGATGACCCCGATCAAGGATGAGGAAAAGTTCAAAGAGGAGCGGTGATTATTCTCTAAGCAAGTGAGTTATCGGGTATAGGGAGAAGGCTGAATCAGAATCTTTGGAGATGATCATCAAATGTAAGATGGATGCCCTAGCAGAATATCTTGCAATTCAGTCGAGATAAACTTAGATTGCTGCGTAGTGTCTTCGTGCTATAGTTGTGTTCTCATGGTAGTGTCTTTCAAGGTACCTCTCGTTCACTGAGAGCCACAAAGCAAAAATCCGCACATCTAAAATAAACCCGCCCATTAGAAAGGGTGGGAATGGGGAATGGGGGTTGAAAACCCACACTCCCATGTCATGCTCTAAGGGTACTTTTCGTAGTAGTCAAGGCGTGCCCCCCCTTCCCTGGGTATATTTACAAAACAAGGTCTCAAGTACGGCGATTATAAGATCATGAATTTCATTGGAATATGTCGTAAGCTAGCTTGATTGCGAAAAGTGGCTCGCCAATTGTGTTTTTGAATTGCATGGAATCATTGGAACTTGCCCAGGATTTGCATTCCATCGTGTCAACTTCAGGATTCCAGTTCTAAATTCGTCAGTTGCGGGGAAAAGGTTCGCCGAACCCACTCCATGTATGTCTTCCACTTGTGAAGATCACCTGATGTCTCGGCACCGGGGAATGCCTTGCTCAGTTCTCTAGTGATCTTTAGAATTCCGAGAGATGCTTCCTGGACCTTCTCTAGCTCTTGCTTGACGGCGTTCTCTTTTGGCTTGAAGGAAAGCACAGAAGTGTAATGCTCTGACAAAGCATCCAGCTGCCGCTCAGTATCCTCCGGTGCAATCTTAATCAGTTTAGATGTCATCAAATTGCTGATTGCACGGATGTCTTGTTCATCATCGATACCCGCGACAATGCGGTCAAAGAGTTCAGACATATGAGTGCGAGAGAAGGATGTGTCGAGCGAGGCATAAAGGGTTTCGTAGGCACTCTGGAAACAAGGATGTCAGTGGGAATATATGGGAAATGATAAGAGCCACGGACCTTTCGCAAGTCGAGTCCATCATCTACTTTGTGCTTGAATGGACCCATTTGGACCTCGCGAATGAGTTCTGGCTTGATTTTGGTGTCACCAAGAACAGCCGGCAGCAACTCGTCGAGATGAGGGAGTAGAAGATCCATCTTGTTATGGATTGCAGAATTAAGGGTGGTCAAGGCAAGCCGGTGGTTGCCCAAGTCACTGTCCCCAAGCATGTTGGTTAAAAGGGGCACCATCAACGGTCGCAGCATATCGTTGTAAGCATCACTCGAGTCAGCAAGCGTGTAACGGAATGCCGAAATCACCACACCACGAACAGCCGGGTCGGCGTTGGCCAGGTACTCCTGTAAAAGTGAGTTTAGCATTGATAAAGTAGAAGAATGAGCCCGACTTACTTGGAAGTGAGGAATGTAAGCAACAGGGTCCAGGAGTGCCAAGCGGCCCACACATTCAGCCCCGACAGCCCGGTTGTCTTCCTCTTCGGAGACGACAAGGAGAGCGTGCCACAATTTGTGAGCGGATGATGCAAGATCCGGACGTACGACCTCGGGATGTTGAAGCAATTCCCGTACGGAATGGAGAAGCAGATAGCTTTGAGCGTTTGTTTTTTCCAGCCCATTCAGAAGGATTGGGAGATAAGCTTTGACACTTCCTGCGGCCGCGTTGCCGAGGGCCGTGGCGGCAGCCAAGCGCACTTGATCTGACTGAGATTCAAAATGGGGCATGAAGAGACTCGGCGTCAACGAGCACTCGGGACCCATTCGCAGGCCGATTTCGCCTAGGATAGCAAGGGCAAGACATTTTCGGCTATCATCCCGTGCAGTCTTGAGTTCTGTTGAAAAATCTTCCATTGTGACACCGAGATTCGGTCCACCGTGGACCAGAAGGGTGCCAACAGCTCTTCCAACCACTGATGAGTCCCCTGTAATCCCCACGTCACGAAGGAGATTCCGCATCAAACTAGCCCCCGCACCTTCGTCGCCAATGACTTTGACCAGCAGCAACAATGCTTTAAGAACCGTTCCGGCGAGTGGTTTGGTGACGATTGAGCAGATAGAAGAGATCAAACCGCCAGTGACCATCAATTTTGCGTTGCCAGGGACAAGTTTGGCAATTATAATCAACGTAGGCGTAAGGGTGTGGAAATCAGCTGCAGCGAGAAGAGGCAAAGCGGCGTTCTCTATTGCTGTGATCGTCTCGGGGATAAGGTGAGATCTGACGTCGGAGTTCATAGAAAGACTACGGAGAGTTTCCAAACACGCGCCTCTCAAGGCACGATCGGATTTGCGCAAGTTCGACCCTAGCTCAAGGGCGACATTGTTGACCCAATCACTGGAGACGTCCTGCTTGCGGCTGACAAGAACGACAACATCATCAACCGCACGTACAGCGGACAAACGAGTTGTCTCGTTCTTCACCCGGTCGACCAGAACAGCCAGGCCATTAGATCTTTTCTCGGAGGAAAGGAACTCTACGCCAAGTTCTCCTGAAGTGCGTGCGAGAAGAATGCCGAACACATGAATTGCCCGTTGACGGACTTCGAGATCTGCGCTTGTGTCAGTGATTCGAGAGTGGACAACATCATAGAGCTTCTGCAGCTGCAGAGTGACATCCGAAGGATTGGCAGAAACACGTGGGGGTGTGATTGCTTTCACGATTTGCTCCACGGCGCCCAAAGCCTCACTGCTGACTTTGTAGTTGCGGTCGTTGACGGCTCCAACCACTCCGGGCACCAGGGCAATTAGGAATGGCAATAACGCATCGGATAGATGGGTCTCGGCGATCACAGCAATGAGACCCAAGGTCTCGATTTGGAGAGTACCTGCACTGACAGAAGCCCCAGTATGAGCCGCTGTGCTCCCTGTTAGAGATGAGGTCTTGAGGGCATCCGCAATGAGGTCTTCAATTTGTTGGAGATGGTCCGCAAGACCACCATAGCGAACCAATGAAAGGCTTTTGAGGAGAATAATCGCGGCTTGTTTGAGGGGAATTGAAGCCTGTTTCCAGATTTTGACGAGGTTCTGTACAATCGAAGGCACGGAGCGAGCTAGATCAGCCTGAGAGCCAGACTTGGGGGACGATGGCACAGCAGGTGAATCAATTGCTGACGACGTTCCAGCACTCGGCTCAAAGTCAATCATTGACGCATCGCTATCTTGGCGTCTGCGCTTGCGAGAATTCTTCGAGCCACCCACGGCCTCCAGGAAGTCATTGGATGTGACAATCATGGAGCCCTCGCCAGTTTTCCGAACAAGCGCCGTCAAAGTCGACACCACCTCAAGTTTCACACTCTCTTCTCTCTCCCTGCAAATTTGTGAGATCAGGGCTGGGGCAATCTGCTGAAACAGGGCCGAGGCGTCCGAAGCACGACCAAGCCCGTAGGTAGAGATGACGGTGTAGAGAAGCTTGGCAGCACACCGGCGTACCTTCCAGCTCATGTCGTCGATGTCACTGTAGCCACCTTCTTCTTCAAAGTCCTCAAATTCGTCGTCTTCTAGGTCGGGGTCCTCCGTGGCATCATCATCACTCCCATCGTCCTGTGTGCCTCCCATCTCCTCATCGTCCTCCACATCGGCAATGTTTGGATCATATTTCAAAAATCGAAGAGCTGACCGAGTGGTGTTCGCTAGATACGGTTGCATCTGTTTGTTGCAGGAGCTGACCAGCGCTTCGAGCGTTACCAAGGCGGTCTCGCGGAGCTCGTCCGCCTGGGGATCTTGTTCGTCGTCCGAGTAAGACGACATGGTGGCGATGATGGAACCACAAGGGAGGTAAGTTGGTGAATTAAAGAAAACAAAATCCCGGTTGACTCTGCGGACACACGCGCTGGAGATGTGGTGTTGCGGGTCACCGTCACGGCGCCTGGAGTCGCAGGCAAGCTAGCTGCCCCGCGCTAGTCCAGATCTAGTAAGAAGCTCACGTGCGCGACTTTTACTGCAAAAAGTCGAGCAAATCAAGTGAAGGTTGGGCACGTTGTTTGGAGGCTAAAAGAGCTTGAAGACCACCTTGTTTTCTTGCTTTGGCCCTCTTCTTGCTGCTTTGATTGTCACCTGCCTTGAGATCTGCTGACATCTGTGTCGAACCTTTCACGTCAACCCTTACAGGAGTTGACCCCCGAGCAGACGCAACCGTAGCTGCTCTAGACGGAATTTTCGAGTTAGGATTCCTTGACTTCCTTTGCGGTAGTACTGTCCTCTGGCGGCAGCGTAAACACTTATACACCGTGGCACCCGCAGATGCCGATCCAGAGGTTAAAGGCTTGCCTTTTTTCGGCTTGATCACAATAACTTTACTCCACTGGGGTTTTCTAATGCTACCACACGCTCCACAGTGGTCTTTCTTCTGTAACACATTCAATGACTTAGACTCCTCGTGGAGGAACCGGGTGTGCACCGCTAGCAGATGAGCTGAAGTCGATGAACCGAGTGGCAAAACCGAGGCAGCCCGAACAAGAAAGGAAGGATCAATTTGAGACATTGTGCGGTAATGCCTATTGAGAAAAAAAGGGACTTTATGGGGAAATTGAAACAATGGTCAACCCAAATAACAAAGACTGAGACAAACGAAGTACAAAGAGAGCAAACGGAAGACATTAGCCCAGTGGTTGCTATTCAGAGATTTGCCGCGCGGGAGCTTAAAAGCCCCAAGCTCCACCCGCCGCTTCTTCTTCCCATCTACATCTCTCTCTTCTCTACTCTTTCCATCTTTCATGCACCAATCTTCTTTTGCTCACGACATTTTACTTTCTTTCCTGTAGCTCTCACCATTTTTTCAGAGGAATTTGGGTTCAAATTTTCTATTCTGAGGCTTGTCTTTTTTTTTCGGTGCTATCATAATCCGACAGCTTGGTTGGACTCTTCCACAATGGCACCGGTACGCATTGCCGTCGAAGGTTGCGTAAGTTATATTGCATAGATGGAGATCCCCATATCATGTGACATGTCCATCTCACAGCTAGTTGCTAATCATTTACAAAGGGCCATGGCAGTCTGAACGACATTTATGAGACAGTGGATCGCAAAGCCACTGAAAAAGGCTGGGACTCTGTTGATCTTGTCATCATTGGTGGAGATTTCCAGGTGGGCTTGCCATGTACCATGCTATCCGAGCTCAATACTGACTGGCTAAACTAGGCTCTGCGCAATGCCAATGATGCGACTTGTCTTTCGGTTCCTGATAAGTTCAAGCAGATCGGTGATTTTCATGAGTACTACAGTGGTGCTCGCACTGCTCCATATCTTACATTGTTCATCGGGGGCAATCATGAGGCGAGCAATCACCTTTCAGAGCTCTACTACGGCGGTTGGGTGGCCCCCAACATCTACTTCATGGGAGCTGCCAACATCGTCCGCTTTGGACCTCTCCGAATCTCCGGGATGTCGGGGATCTGGAAGGGCTACGACTATCGGAAGGCCCACTATGAACGATTGCCATACAACAGAGACGATGTTTCTTCGATCTACCACATCCGTGAGCTGGATGTCCGCAAGTTGCTGCAAGTGCGCACCCAGATCGACATTGGTCTGTCCCATGATTGGCCGAAAGGGATTGAGAAGCTTGGAGACTATGGTACTTTGTTTCGCAAGAAGTCAGGCTTTAAAGCTGATTCCGAATCTGGGAAGCTCGGAAGTTTCGCTGCACGCGAAGCTCTGAATCATTTGCGCCCTGCCTACTGGCTTTCAGCTCATCTACATGTGCGTTACACTGCAAAGGTGTCACATAGTCCGCCTCGTGCAAATATCACTTCTTCGAGAACCCTCAATCCTGCTGTTGCCCCCTCCAATACAAATGATGCGGCTCCGGTTCCACGAAGCAATCTCAACACCCGCACCCTCGCTGGCCACAAATTGCTCGGTACTGCCACTGGAGACGAACAGTCACGCATCAAGGCCTGGAATGAATTCGGAGATAACGCCCGACGGACCGAGAAAGAGAAAATGGACCAAGATGAGTTAATGCGTATGATCAGGGCGAGACAGCCGCAACCTGCGCGGAATATTACCTTCAATGAAACATCCAAGATTGGAGGTGGTCCCATTCGGAAATTTGTACGTGGCGCCGATGGAGAAAAAGTCGAAGCCGCCTTCATCGACGGCGAGAACATTGAAATCCTCGACAAAGTCAGCCGGGGAAACAACCCCGTGAATAACTCTGCTGAGGAGGTGGTTACCAGGCGGGAATCTTCTCTGTTTGCTGAGACAACCGACGACATCCAGACCACTAAGCATGTCAAGACGATCCAGCATGCCAAAGTGACAGATGATGTCGCTGACAATATTGACAAGATCAGCATTTCTACTAGCCCCAGCAGCACCGCGAGCGTTAAATCTCCTCCAGCCGAAAAAGCTCTTCCAAAAGCCGACATCTCTCTGAATTGGAGTGATGACCGCTCTCCTGATACTTGGTGGAGTGATGGTGTGGATGATCAAATTGGTGGAATTGAAACCGAACTCCCAACCAGCATCGCGCAGTCATCTCTACCCAAGGCTGCCTCAAATCCCTCAGATTCCGAACACCTTCCAGGCCCCCAGGAGATTAAGAATCTTGTGACCCAATTTCTGACCTTGGACAAACCACATAACCATGATGACTTTGTTGAACTACTGGAGATTGAGCCAATCTCCGAACCAGACTCTTTCGCCGTGGATTCTCCCATGCGACTGAGGTACGACAAGGAGTGGCTGGCGATTACTCGTGCATTTGCTGATGAGCTCGAATTTGGCGGACATCCCAAAGGCAGTGTCCCTGCCCACAAGGGGTATGAATATTACCAACAGCGGATCACTGAGGAGGAGGAATGGGTACAGGAGAACGTCATCAACCCTGGATTGTTGGACATTCCCACTGACTTCGTCCTGACTGCCCCCATCTATGACCCTGGTGTTTCAATCAACACTCATGAGCAGCCGAAGGAGTACACCAACCCGCAGACCTCTGCATTCTGCAATTTGATTGGAATTGAGAACAAGTTTGACATGAGCGAGGAAGAACGTCAGGCTCGCATGGAGGCCGGCCCACGCCCCGATGAACCTCGTCAGTACTCCCAGAGCAACCGTGGCGGTCGTGGTGGACGCGGCCGTGGTGGACGTGGTCGTGGAGGTCGACGTGGTCCCGGGCGCGGTGGTTTCAGTGGTCGTGGCGGGTATGCCAACTCAGGCCCCTCGACTCAGGGCACTGATGCCTGGTAATTTGGCCAGTGCTTGGCTCTTTCGCCTACACATGCCGCTACTCTGTTCCTTTTCTTTTGGTGGCTTGCTGATGTGAATCCGAAGTGAGAATTCTTTCACAAAACATCTTTTACCAATGTCTTTTGTTTTGCTCTCTGTATGTATCTACAAGAAGTGATGAATCCGCACAGTGGGCACTAGGGATCATTTCACTTGAGTAGGGATATTCCTTGTTTACGACCTCGGTTTCTGCATACTAGTCACTCTATAGAATAGCTTGCTCTGAGTGTACATAGCCCGTGTTCTGCCTGTATTTAATATGCGTCTAGGGCGGAGTTTAATGTCACTTCCAAGCCCGTCGCTTGCTTTTTTCTGTCGGTATTTTGCCTCAAGTCTAGCTTCTGTTTCAGTTGTTAGTGTCTCCCAAATCAATGAATCGTATCTGAATTCAAAACCAGTCGGCCAGCAACCTTCTCGTCGAAACTGTTATTTACATGTGTTCATTGGTTAGACCACTTCATCTACCTACCACTTTAGCTTCGATTGATCACTTGTAGCCTTATAAGTTGGATACCAGGACCATATTGCACATAAACCGTTTGGACTATGTAAACATGTCACCGGCAGCCTTCCCCCAACCTACTTTCTCACATCAATTTCACGAATCAAAGAGGAAAAAAATAGTGGAGCCCACGGCAATTGGATGAACCCCCCAAAAAAAGACATGCATCATCCGTGAATCGAACACGGGCCTCGTCGATGGCAACGACGAATTCTACCACTAGACCAATGATGCTGGAGCCTAGACGAATCTGAAAGCTGATTCGTTGGTGATATACGAATGTCTTCAGTTAGGAATTTGACGAGATGTTGGACTGTCAGTAATTTGATCGAGCACCACCCACCTGGATTTGTTCCTACTTGTATCTTCAAGGTTGATGTTTGAGAGATTTTGAGTGTTGATTTGTAAAATGTTCTAATGTTGGCTCTCATTGTGTTTGAGCGCTTGGCTTTATTCAATCTCCTCGATGCGCGGACGACCGGTAGTTTCCCCTGCCATGGGATCAACCTGTAGACCGGCGATCCTGTCGCCCAGTCCAAACCGTGGACTGAAGGTATTTTGATCATCCTGGGCGCCAATGCCCCACATCAAAGACTTCTCTGACCAAGTCTCCAAACTTTCAATCAATGCGCGCAAATTTCCACGAGCGAGCCCGTCCTCCTCAGAACCCTCGATGAAGCGGAGCGTGCGTAGCATAGCAGGGATATTACCAATAGTCGAATGTCCCTGCATACTGGACCCATATGGGGCGGCAAAGCTCGAAGCCGAATCGTCCAAAAGCGAAAAGCCGAGCCCGATGCCCTGGTTCCCGCGCGTTTCCCGTGCTGCCTCAAGAGCTTTCAAGATGTCGAAGATCAAAACTATACTCGCCCGGCGGAGGATGGCACTCGCCGGTTCCCTTTCGAGGGTTAACGTGGCGAGCGCGAGTTCGACGGCGGAAGAAAGAATGACGGGGCCAAGACCAAGGATGTTGACGTTGATGGCCGATCCAAGAATGGAAATGGCCGATGCGCGGATGCGAAGGTCATCAGGGGCATCATCCGCAGATGCACCGGCTGCCCATGCAGCGACGACGTTTGTGGCGTACGCTGATTGCTCTGGGGATTCGTCGTCCGAATGAAGTTCTGGGAGGTCAAGTTCGGAAGCAGCTTTAGCTACTCCAGATGAAATGGACCAGCCTTCAGGCATGGCCGGTTCATTTTCCTTGCGCTGCGCGCGTTCCTGTTCCCGTCTCTCCTTGGCAAGTTGCTTTTTGCGGATTTGCTGTGTATACTTCTTGTTGCCCCGTCGTCCTGCAACGGCAACAATGCCCTCACCAAGAATTTTGGCCGTCTCACCAACCAACGCCTCTCCCAAGTCCTGCACTGTGCGCAGCAGAGATTCACCAATCCTGAGTCTTTCGTCCAATCCTCGGTGTTCGCGTCTGTCTGCGTACTCTTCAACCAGGGTTTTGATCACGGAACGTGGATGGCGTGATGCCAGTGTACCAACTATCTTGATTGCACCGAGATATGCGTATTCATCGTTGGCAGAGGTCTTGGATGTGTCGGTGATGACTGAAAGCAGGAGGGTGAGAGTTGACCCCACATCAAGAACGGGTGAGGATTTCATAATCAGTTTCGAAATCAGTGATAGGCCCTCGGCTTGCACGGGTGGTAGATCTGAGTTGAGATTCGCCATTGCTTGACGATGTGTTTCAAGGTCCTGAATATGAGCTGGCACTGCCTTAATTGTGGTTTCGTCTCCCCCAGCAAGGTGAATCTCTAGCAACATAGACGAGGTCGTTGCTGGCTTGGAAAGTGTGGAAGGGAGAAAGGGAACGAGTTGATCGAGGTCGTTTTTAAGGGATTCAAGGAGGGGCTGAATTTCAGTAGTGGGAGAGAACTCCGCAGATGCAAGAAGTGTAGACATCAGACTGAAGGTTGTTGAAACGGATTCAGAGGAGTCGTTGTCACATTGCTCCGCGTCTTTGTCTCCCGTTTTCACGATGTTAGCTAAAGATAACAGGGACACCTTGCTATTTACTTTGCCTTGAGCCGCCCATTTTTGGGCGCTAAGTCTATGTAGCTCCCCAGCAATAACTTGCTTGATGAGCTCTAAAACTCGGAGCGGGTGTCGAGTCAGTGCTTCTTTGAAGTTCTCAAGCAGCTTTTCTGCAATTTTGGCACTAACAAGCTTCTGAATGATGTTGTCACCTTCGCCAGCGGGACTGTTCAATGTGTTGTCAGGGAGTGCAGTACCCCGCGGCTGCACTAGCCAGTTTTGACTGGCATAGAGGAAGATATCACCGGTCCGTTCCTCACTGCTAGGATCCGAGCCAATGAGACTGACAAAGACTTCTACTCGTGCTTGGATGGAATCGATCAGCTGCACCATATTTGAATGCTCGCTTGTTTTCTCACTCCGCTTCTGCAATGCGATTCTAGCGTCGGAATCTTTGATGTATGTCCACATCGCCCCCCCATCCCATAGAAGATTATCAATTAGCTTTTTGAGGGGTTGGGCTCCAACAGAGATGCCAAAATATGTTTGGAGCAGGAGCAAGACCTTTTCATGGAACGGGATCAGCCCTTCCTCCTTGGAAAAACAGACCAAGCCCCATAATGGAAGAAGAATCGGAGACACGATTCGTTTTACGAGACCTGGGTTTGGATGCTGCAATGTCAGACAAGCCAGTCTGTTTAGAGCCAGGTCCACTGTTGCGCCGTCTACCAAGACGTTGGATGCGGGGTTTGGTTCCGCAGGGTTTGGCATAGAGCCTTCGATATCGGTGAAGTGACCGATCCATTGTCTCGATTTAGCATCGAGGTTCGCGGTAAGTGCATTAAATATCGGCTCCACAAAGATGGTATGACCAACAGTGCCAGGAGCGCCATAAGCACGTTTCCCCAGAATTCCATTTCCGACGACGTAGGAAGCAGTTTTCCTGAGATCTAAATCATCGCCGTCTATTAGTGCTAGCAGCTGTGGGGCGATTGTCTGAAAATAGACAGTTGGGTCAACATCCGATGGCACAGAGGAAAGGAGTCGTGATATTTGCATGATGGCCTGAACAGTCAAACGAGGGCCATTTGATAGGTCCTGTGCTTCCTGGCCTAGAGATGGCGAAAATTGCGATGCAATAAACATGATGGTTTGCACTACTCCTCCGGGTCGTAGCGGAACTTGTGAGATCTGGCTGGAGATGATTAATTTGAACCATTGCGCAGTATTCGATTGGAGGAATGCGGATAGTGTGGGCAGCAAGACAGTTGTTGGGGTACTTTAGGTTGTCAATACCCAGGAATGGCAAAAGCAATGGGAACATACTCATCAATTATCTTGGCTAAAGTTTTCTGGTATGAGTTCCGGCCAGATGATGCCTCGGTATTTGGATTGAAAGCAAGATCAGACGTGCCACTGATTATGTCACTCAAGATACGACCACGAATGATCGGCTGGAGGCTTGGTCTCGGGTCGAAGAGGACGTCAACCAAAACGCCGATTATGCGGCACAAAAGAGGCTCGTCGTGCGGTACACTGCTAACAGTTGCATTTGCCTGCTTTGCAATGACACCGGCTGGCAATACCGAGATCACCCGCTGCTGCAGGGGAATCCCAACGCCAGATGACAACGAAGGGTATATTCCTTCCAGGGAAATCAGGTCTAGCAATGCATGTAGCATTCGGCGGCGCTTGGCATCTTCCAATGGCGAGTCTCCAGCCTCCCCACCTGATTGAAGAGATCCATGTTGGTCTTCAGGTAAAACAAGGGACCTGTGGATACTAGTCAAGATATTCAAAGCCTCATTTATCACAGTTGACCGCGCGTCACCATCGCCAGCACCATGATCATCACCCGAAGTTAGACTAAGAATCTGCAGCAAGGATTTACCTTGGGTCTTCTGTATTGCCTCTACAAGATAGTCAGCGCCAGAGACTTAAGTGTAGCTTGAGGTCTCGAACATGCATACCTCGATCAAGGACTGGAGTCAGAAAGTCCTTAGCAAGATCAAAGGCTTCGCGAATATGCTGTGGAACTCCCATAATGAATAATTGTGAGAGCCAGTCATACCAGATTCATTCCAATGAAGGTATTTGCCTCATTGATATTGCTCAGATCCAAGAGTCATGAATAATCACTGATAAACGGGTCTTGGCATTCCTCGCTGATTATATAATGACATGCAAACATGAAGTCACGTGGTTACTGCGTGACACCAGTCGCGTCAGTTATGTGGCGTCGCGCTTGCCCGCATTGGCATAGTCGCGTCAACTGCCAAGACATTGTTGTTGTCTCCAACCTCGTCAACTCTGTTCACTGCCTACTTCACATCATCTCAACGGACGATTCAAACCGCCGCAGCCAGTTCCTCAGTTACCCTGATTCTTGCTTGTTTTTACGATATTCAGTGGACCCAATTTCTGTTCAGACGTGCCAGAGTTTCACCGCGACCATTTCCTGAGTGTGGAGCCACTCGAGTCTCTTGCCTTCCGAGGCACACATGTACAGATAAACCCTCTCAGATCTTCAATTTCGTCTGCTGTCTTCAATGGCAAACCGTCACATATGTTTCGCCCGGCGACTCGTATTGTTTCGGCGCAGAAGACTTTGGAGTTAAGCCCTAAGCCCTCCTCGGTTCAATGTCTTCAAGGACACAGTTTCACGGTTGCGCATGGCGGATAATACGATTAGCTGAAACAGACTGTGATGGTCCGATTAAGCGAAAGATATCCGACTTGGCCAGAGCCTTTGGGCACAAAAGACGGTTCACTATGCGTTATCCAAATGGAGACCGCGTCGGTTTACTAATGCTGGACGCTACATGCCGGTCACAAACGGTTGGTCGCCCTACGCCTCGGATAACAGTTCAGCGAGAAGAGAACGCGGGCGAAGCATGTCGGGTACTTCAGTATCAGATGTCACCTTTAGGAGCCACTATGACAGCGCGACCGGATGGCGATTGAATGCGACATATTAAGTCTCGAAGATCCTAGGGCATCAAATTGCTTGGCTCAGATATTTGGTGCCTAGAACACAGCAGTATCCTTACACACAGTCATAGCGTCAGCATTTCCAAAGGATCCACTCGCCGGAATCAACATTCCTCTCCCTGAAAATTGCCCAGGCATTTTCACATTTGAAGTTGTCGCGAGGTTCTTTGGTTATGCTGCCCTATGATTCTTCGATGTTGATCCTTGGAGAACATGGAAGATAGCGAACTGTTGTCTCGTTCCGGATGGCCACAAATTTCCCTAAGCAATTTGATGTTTTTCGGACCTATTTGCCTGCATTCTCTCGTCAATTCTGCTAGCATCACTGTCGGCTCCTGCACATGTTTCCTATTCCAGGATCCCTGGGGATCTCGCCCCTGCGCTCCACCTTCTTGGGTCCTGTTTTTCCTACGCCCCATCGGCGGCTAGGCACCTCGTCTCACGGCACCCGCCACCGATTCGACTTCGTCAGAAGAGCCTGATCGACCGTGTTAACCATCTCTTCGCAAAGTCGTTTGGGAATAGATTGATGGGCGCTGACTTCAACAATGACTTCCATCATTGTTCCTTCCCTTGGGAAGAAGGAAGCGGTTTTTTTGGATGTTCTTTGTCCGCTTCACAACATGCCCTCCTGCAAGATCTTCGGGTCAACCAGGAGAGGAAACAAAAACCTGTCCCAAAGGGAACTGTACCACACACGAGAGACTCGGCCTCACGCTCATGCGACGGTATCAGTGAAACAATGGCGAGTTGACTAAAATTGCGGAGATGGATGACGTTTAAGCAGATTCGGATGAGCTAACTGTGTCTCGGCCAAGCTTGACTTGTCTTTGTGAGGGTTGTGTGGGTTTGTTTGGTTCCGTGGGCTTGATGGATATGTTCATCTGTCGTCGTCTGCTCCCAGCATTCCTCAACTCCTGTTTGCACCTGTACATGATGCTCGTCCCCTTACGTCTCCAAACGATCGCAATTGTTCTGGTCGGAGAAACGTACGGTTTCTATCCTTCGAACGCTTTAACTCATCAGCCCATTTCAAGTCGGCATGGGGCCGATGTTCTTGGCCGGCTCTAACGTGTATGCGTTGTGCAGTGGTTGTCGTGGGACCTCTCTCGAGTGAGGATCAAAGCTTTGGCTTGTCTACGATGCTTATCTGCTGCTATGCGTCCCCGGCCGAGGCTTGTCCTCATTGCCTGAGAAGAGTGAACTGAAAAGCGACGAATGGGAAATCGGATGATCTCTGTTCCGCCTAGGAACTATTGTGTCATCGGGACTTGGGTGTTGTGTCAATGATGGTTCTCTACATGGGAGCAGAATGCTTGGCCAGGCGATGACCGGTGGACTGCCGTTTCCATTGGTAGTGGAAACGGCCACTTTTTTTTTTAATAAGTGCCCCCAACCTCTCTGTTCCAAGACTATGCTAACTACCGACATGTGCAGATTCTGGAGTTTGAGTGGATGCAACGGGAAATTCAAGGAATTGAAATTGGAGACCATGGAAAGACCATGTGAACTGGCTACATTCATGCGCAATTGACTATGCAACTATCATCCATCCAAGCATGTAGATCTCGCTGTCTCACCGCCCTTTAAAACGGCTGGGCGGTGGCATAATTAATGGCAGAAATGCATTACCTCATCCCCCTCTTTGTCAGCCCCTCAGCCCACATGCCCCGCGCAGAACAGCAAGGAATGTTCCCGTGGCTCCGATAATTTTTTTCGCGATAAGAATTTCTTGCTTCAGCACAACCAGCTTTAGTACATCTCTCACCTCGTCCACTTTACAAAAATATTGGCAGTCGGACACAAGAGTGCACATAATATCTAACTTCCATTCACATTCACAAACCTATCCTATACAATGGTCAGCAAAGCCGACAACGATGCCCTTGAGGCGCAGTTTGAGTCGCAATTCCAAAAGCCCGGTGATCTTGTCGAGCGTGATGAGGACACTGGTGCAATGTCAATCGAATCACTTTGCATGAACTGCCATGAGCAAGGGTTCGTTTCTAGCATCCAGTTCTTATGTTTTGCAAATTGCTAATTTTCAATCACTTCAATCAGTGTGACGCGTCTGCTTTTGCTTCGAGTCCCTTACTTCAGAGACATTATCCTCGAGAGTTTCGAATGTGAACACTGCCATTTAAAAAATAACTCAATCAAATCAGCTGGTCAGATCCAGGAACGTGGAACTGTTTACACTTTGAGGGTCGAGAATGAGGAGGATCTTCAGGTACCTATGTCCAACTATGAAGCATTTTATCCTGCTCAAGCTAATTTGAGTCTTTAAAATTAGCGTCAAGTCATCCGCAGTGATGTGTCAGGTTTCAAACTTATCACCAAGCTCGGTAACGAGATTGAAGTTCCCAAGGGAACTGGCCAGCTGACCAATGTGGAAGGCAGTATGTGAAGCCCGTGCAATAGAGCTCGTTTCAAAGACACTAATCTCCTTATCTTCTAGTGGTTCAACTCATTCATGAAAATTTGTCAGGAGAGCAAGATCTCCGCAAGGACCAAGCTCCTGAACTTTACAATGCCCTCGTTCCTATCATCGCCAGTCTTGAGAAGATCATGAACCGCGAGGACGCCTTCCCCTTCACCATCTCCCTAGATGATCTCACTGGAAACTCATGGATTGCGCCTAACAGCACTGATCGTGGCAACAAATACACGCGCCATGAATACCCGCGTACTCACGAACAGAATGAGGAGTTGGGAATCTCTGCCGACGCAAACGCTATCAGCCAAGAGAACACTGCTCAGGTCGATGCCGGCGACCCAGAAGATCTCGATATCGTTGACGGCCAGGTCTACACCATCCCTGCCGAGTGTCCCGGTTGTAATAAAGAAGCCGAGGTGAACATTAAGAAAGTTAACATTCCTTACTTCAAGGAAGTTCTGCTGTTTGGCACAAACTGTGGACATTGCGGCTACAAATCTTCTGCAATTAAGACCGGTGGCGAGGTGCCCGAGAAGGGCAAGCGTATCACTCTTAAGGTGAACAACGAGGTTGATCTCTCCCGCGATATCCTCAAGAGTGATACAGCAGGCCTTTACAGTCCCGAACTTGACCTGGACGTTCAGCCAGGAACTCTCGGTGGACGTTTCACCACAGTTGAAGGACTACTAGGTTCGTTCCTCCATTATTTGACTAAACTGACACAACTAACCCGTCTTTTAGTTGAGATCCGGGACCAGTTGAAGGGCGCCATTTTCGATGTTGACGATTCCACCAATTCCGGAGGCGACAGCATGGTCTCTTCTGATAAGGATAAGTGGCAAAGGTTCTTCAGTCGTCTCGATCAGGCTATCAATGGCGAGCTCAAGTTCACTATCACGCTGCAAGACCCGATGGCCTCGTCTTACGTTCAAGATCTTTGCAGCCCAGCTATCGACCACCAAATCACCACCGAGGATTACACTCGCTCTGCCGAGGAGGAGGATGATCTAGGTCTGACTGACATGAAGACTGAGGGCTATGAGCAGCGCGAGACCGATGCCGCCAAGGTTGATGCCACTCCGAAGGAGTAATCGAAGGATTTATGATGTATACCCATCTCATGAAACGCGGGGGTGATCTGATTTTTGGGGGGGGGTTATTGCATTACGGCGTCTGTGATGTCTGACATTTTGCTGGCGTTTTTAAACTACTTTAGGTCGTACATAGGGATGAAACTAAAAAAGGTGTTGTGTCACTATCTTATGCATTTCCGCTAGCCAAACCGTTGACAAGTATGGCCTCCTTTCGACGGCCATGTCGAAGTGTCTGAGAGATGGGTTGAATGACTAAGCTCAACCTGGAGACATAAATCTAGTGATTCGAACCACCAAAAAATGTAGGGGGCCAAATCTCTTCACGTTCACTATTTCGGAGTCCATTCTCAACCTGCATCTCCTAATACGAAACCCATTTTTCAATCCATCTTGCAAGGCTAAGGCACTTCATATCAACGAAGCGATTCCAAATTTCAGATGCAATCCCCATCACAATCCCTAACACGATCAGGGTTCCCACCCAAGCAACTGAAAAAGGCAAAGATTGCCTGCTCGCTTCAATAGTACCAGGATAAGGCGTTCCTGTAACTGCCCACCATAGAAAGTCTCGAACTGGCCATTTAAGAACAAGATAGACTGTCGGGTGGACTAGATAGAGTGGGAATGAGATTTTGCCCAAGTATTGCAGTGGTCGTGCGTTGAGCGGCCATTGCAGCAATGCAGATTTGCTGATTGCATGTATCGTCAGAACTGCTCCAACGCTCCTCCAGCACCGGGGCATCATCTCGGCGTTATCCCATTCGGGAGATCGAGCCACAATCAGCCATCGGTACTCCCTTGCTAAGCGGTCAGCGCCGCACATGCAGAGGAAATACATCCCTAGAATGAACGAGACCAATGTTCCAAGCTGTTGAAGACAGATGTTCTCTGTGAATGTGTTCCAGGATTTGGTCATCGGCTTTGGAATCTTGAGAGGTGAGGATGATGATAGTGTGATCTCTCCTTCCGGTTCGGACTCGGATGCGACGTGTCTCTCTGCGAGAATCATCCCGGCAACGAAGGCAAAGAGATCCCAATGTCCCATATAAAACCAATACATCGCCACACCTGCCAATGCCAGATACCGAGGACGCGGTCTCCAAAATGAAAAGGTCAGGATCAACGAGTAGATAGCGCACGAGCCTCGAAACTCAATTGGCATTGTCCACAGTTGGTAGTTGATAGTCCTCATATCTGGCCGGTTATGATCAAAATTGAGATCGACTTGATGGTTGCTGATATCCAGGAGATGCACTATCCTCGCCAGCACATATTGGATATGAGCCCAAGGTGCTGTCAAGGGCTTTAATCCGCCCAGCCAGTCATCCGCAGCTTTCCACTGGAACACATTGCAGAAGTATACCAATTGACTGAGAGATAGTATGGCCATGGAAGGTAGATAGATTCGAAAGATTCTGCGCGTTGCCGCAGAGCATAATCGACGAAAAAACCCCGAATTACTTGCCCCCAGATCCTCTCGGCATCGGAGAAGCGGAAGAGAGATCGCATACCCCGAGATAACCATGAACAAAGCTACCATTGATGGACCATTAAAGAGAAGTCGCAAGGGTGGAAGTTGGATAAGCCGACGGTTCTCTTCAGCCGGTTCATCCCAGTACGACCTGGTCAAAAAGCCAACGATCCTCTTGGGCTCTGAGCTCTTTGAATGGTGTATCACCACCAAAGCTGAGGCTATACCCCGGAGGCTATCCAGCCACAGAATACGCTCCATGTTTAGAAAGGAATGTGTGCACAAAGGAAAAAAAAAATTTAATGGGGTCGACTTCTGAGTCGTTGAACAGAGGAGAATTAATTCCGAGGAAACCTGTACGAGATTACAGAAATTACCAAGGAGTGCTGTTGTCTAATAGTTGTACAGCCTATTAAACCACAGGCTAGTGACACTAGTGAAGAAACCGACATCACACCGATCGAGATGGAGTCACAGGAAATATTCAGCATGGTCTTGACGGTGTATGTTGTACTTTCGTAATACAGGGAGTCAATGGGCTCAAACCTGTAAGCCCAGATCTAGACCTTGTGGGATGCATGATATATATCTACCGTACCCACTTGGGGTTCATTCTACATCGACGCTAATAGATTGCACAAATCCACTGAATTTCCAAACCAAACGCAGTTAGTCAACGACACCAAAAAAAGAAGTCGACGTTGACCCCCCAAAACATAGTACCCCCCCTGCAGATGAGCACTCCTCCCTGCGTAGACTCACCGACGCCATCGGGCCATTTTGGGGACTGTAGTTCATTGGTCGCATTGGATACATAACTCAGCTCCGAAGTACTCCGTGGATCTTCAATGATTTTCCGAATCTTGATTTTTACTCGGGTCTGTTCGGCTCTAAAGGGACTGGGTGGATTTTAGTTTCGAATGGTGTAATTGGATTTAAGGTAAAGAGATGCATACATTAGGCATTAGGATTAATGATTGACTGAGCTTCATCTGAAGTTGCTCCAGCAATACCCAATGAAATCTGTCCCTTAAACTAGACATCAACTAGACATCAGCTACGCAGAGATTCGTATTTAGAAAGGGAAGGCAACTCTATATGCATAGCCCCCCCCACAAGAATGAGTTCCAAAATCTACCGATCTATGTCGGGCCTGACAAGGCCTCCAAGCCCACAGAGTCGGTCTGCGCACGAATCTGCTTCTGCCACATTGTTGTATATCGACCTTGAGAAGCCAGAAGCTGCTCATGGGTTCCACTCTCGGCGACACGACCTTCGTGCAATACGACAATGTTATCAGCAGTTGTGATAGTGCTCAGCCGATGAGCAATGACTAGCACTGTACGCCCGCGCGACAACACAGATAGTGCTTCTTGGATATTCTGCTCCGTCTCGGAGTCCAATGCGGCCGTGGCCTCGTCAAGCAGGATGATCTGAGGTTTCTTGATAATGGTTCGGGCAATGGCAACGCGCTGTTTCTCACCACCGCTGAGTCGTAAGCCACGGTCTCCCACTTTGGTTTGATAACCGTCGGGGAAAGCCATAATCTTTTCGTGGACACTAGCTGCACGGCAGGCCTCATAGACTTCTTCGTCAGTGGTGTCCTGGTTGGCATACTTGAGGTTGTACATGATTGTTTCATTAAAAAGGACTGTGTCTTGTGGTACAATGCCAATGTGTCTTCGCACCGAGTCCATTGTCAAGGTCTGGGTGTCGTGTCCGTCAATGAAAAGGCTACCGCCGGTCGGATTGTAGAACCTGTAGAGCAAGCGGAAGATTGTAGATTTCCCTCCACCTGATTCGCCCACCAGAGCAGTGGTTGTACCCGGCTTACAGTCAAAGGTCAATCCATTGAGAGCGGGTTTCCGTGTGTCATATGAGAATTGGACATCGTTGAAGGTGATGCGGCCGTGACAGACTGCTAGCGGTGTCGCAGACGGTGCATCCACCACTGATGGCCGGACGCGGAACAGCTCGAGTAGACGCTCTGCATTGATCAACGCTGATTGAATGTACCGGTAGAAGGTTCCGAAGATGTTCAATGGGGCTTGGAGTTGGGCCATATAGGTAAGGAGAGTCACAAACTGGCCGACTGCACGTTGACCGCGAGCCACTTGGTATGCACAGATAAAACAAGTGATGAGAAGGCCAAGCATAAAGATGATATTTTGGAAAATATTCATCAGATTCTGGGCGAAGAGGGAATGCCATTCTGCCCGTAGGTAGTCCGAGACCGCCCCTCGATAGCGATTGAACTCGTATTCCTCTGCGTTGAAGTATTTGACAGTTTCGTAGGACACAAGAGAGTCATTTCTGTTGAAGTTAGCTCAGTCGAATTAACCCTTTTTTTTTTTTTTTAAAAAAAGGAGCCGACCAGTAGGAAAGAAAACTTACTTGACAGCATCTTCCTGCCGAGAAGCGTTCACCATTTGGCGTCGCATGTTGGCTCTCCACGAGGCGATTTTGACGGTTGAATAGAGGTAGAAGAATGTCATGATAGCAACCGCCAACGCATAATACACGTCAAACACGACTAGAAAATATCCGATAGCGATGGTCAGATCAACGAACATAGGCAACACTTGAAAGGTCACTTGCTCAAGGAAAGTGTTGATTGAGCTGCCTTTGGTGAGAGCAGAGAGAACCTCGCCCATCTTTTTACCCAGGTGAAAGTCCAGTCCTAGTTTATGAACATGCTCAAATGCAGCGGTGGATAACTCCATGTATGCATACTGGCTCACTGAAATCCACAGATTCGAACGAACGGACTCGAGAAAACCTTGGCTGCCTTGAAGCCAACGGTAAATGGTATACAAACAGATGGGCCTCCAAGGCACGCTCAGAGTTCCATCGCTGGTTGACAATGAGTCTGCAATTACTCCCACTTGATATGGGACAAGGATATTTACTGCTCGCTGCACAATTAAGATGGCAAAGCAGATGACGACCACCATTTTCAACCGGAGAGATTTGTAAGGCCACAGATATGGAAAGAACAGGGAATAACCACTCAGATATTCCATCCAGTTTGTGGAAGGGGTCGTCAAAGGCCGTACCCACGCTTCGACCTCAGGGGTCTGTTGACCGTCGGTCAACGCATCACTGTCATCTGAGTTGGCGTTCCCCCTCGAGTCTAGTAAACTGGTTGTCTCTCCGACATCGGCATCTTCGGCCTCATTTAAGGCGCGAGATTTGCAGGCAGATCTGAACACGTAGGACGCGACAAGCAGTACGAGAACCAAAATCCGCACAGAGCCTGCGGAGATCTCCAATGCCTCCCAGCATGTGATCTTCGTGCGCAATCTTCCGCCATGTGGATCTTCAATTGTAGGTTCACGGTGGGTATGAGAATAGATCGCAACTGAAGTGGAGAGAATTGTAACCTCGAACGGAATGGCTGACAGCCATGGGACGAATTGCACGATTGATGGTGCAGGGTTTGTATCGAGCAAAGAGAGGAAGATGACGGCATGAGTGAAGAAAGACCCAACGACACAGAACTGATCTTTCTGTTAGCTTCGATTTCTATTCTTTGAAGCAAAAGTCTCACCACCACCGCTTGGCCACACCACCACTGTTCTGCGTTGGAGATCATGGCATGGGTCATGTGAATCGCTGCCTCGGCAATGTAGGTTGCCAGCACAACTAGACTCAACCAACCAAACCAGCCTTTGGATCGATTCCGTGCAAGCTCCGTGGGCAAGTCCCTGGCTCCGGCCATAAATATTCGGGTTCGCCTCGGTAGTGGTTTCCCACCGGGGCCATGTTGCACTTCGGGATTCCGACTGGCATCTTTGGCTGAAGTGTTGGCTACCTGGGAGGAGTGAACCAAAAAGACGACAACGAGAACCACGAGCAAAAGTGGAGGATATCCAAAGCGAAAAGATTGGAGGAATTCATGAGCAGTGATCGCTGAATCCATGGCCACAGGCTCTTGATCATCGGAGACTCTGGATCCCAAAGTTGACTTTGGTTAGACAATTGAGACATCAAACGTGGGAATTACCCGGGAAGGGATGTCCATGTCTTCACATGGTGTTGGCTGCGAGATGGAAAGCTGAAAGTTCACAGTTGAGCTGTCGTGTGCCCATGTTTCAATCCTGCTGTCAATCAGTGGGGACGCGGATAGAGACTAGTAACGCCACTGTATTGGTGGGTAATCTTGCACAAACAATGAGATCCCCTTACCTTGGAACTTATGTACGGAGTATATTCCGTACAAGATGGTTGATCATTCGAATACAAGTGCCCGTACTTGTACCTATATTGGTTTGATTTGGTTTAAAATGTCTATGCTTACGTGGTCTTCAGGGCCTAGTAGTTGGGCTCAGGCATTCAACTGTATCTTTGAAGAATAGAAGAAGTACGGAAGGAAGATGCAATAATCTTAGACCCCCCCCCCTATAATCAGAAAGATAAAGAAAGAGATGAATTTGCTCAATTCAACAGATCTATCATCGTGAGTCCAATTAGTCCAACGCTCCAGCAAAGTTTACTCCTCCAATCGACGGAGTACGCGGAATGGGGTTTTAGAGTCCAACACGGTATTTTTGTCATTGAATACAATACAATTCGATATGAGTTTCCCTACCCGATCATGCAGTGTCGATCCACCGAATAATCTTGTTCTGATAGCTCAAGTTGATTAAATCAATGAGTCTCTTGATTCGATGTAGTACCGCACTGCGGACGGGCTGTGCTTACATTACTGCAGTCGGGTTAAAACATAAGGGTTGAATTTCCTGTCGCCCTGACTCTCCGTGACCTTTTGCTTTTACACGACTCTCCGCAATAGGGTTATCGCAATCAATCCATCTTTTTCGAGGTTGGGGATTTGAAATGATCATCAAATAAGCTCGCGTGATAAATTGCCCAAATGGTGGGCATTTATTGTGTGATATGACGTGGCTACTTGAAGTTTTTTTTTTCTTTTTTTTTTCTTCAGTTCTTGCGTAGGAATACCCCCACAGCTTGTTATCATAGATGCAGGTTGACTTGAACTATTGAGATTACAGACGTACATCCGCAGTCGAGTACGAAGAATGCTTACCATATCGCACATGCGGACCCAGCAGGTCGGATGTCCATCCTACCGCTTGGGCAGTCTTATTTTGTCTTAGATCTCCGATCGATACCTCCTCTTATTTTGTGTTCTTTTGATTTGGATATAAGTAAAAAAAAGATCCTTATATATCCACCTGTTTGAAATTCCTCATACCCAATATACCAAGGAAAGGAGTACAACATACGGAGAAGTACCTGGCCACGCACGGGATGACTTAAGGTTCGGGACGAGTGAAGAACCATGGGTTGGGACACTTCGATCCCAAGATTCCTCTTTGGGGTTAGTTCCACAGCTCTTCAGCTGCCAGATGATGATGATTTAGATGCTGACCACACTATAAATCAAAATTTCTGGTTTCCACTGGTGTAAGCGCGAAGTACTTACGGGGAAATTCACTGCCGGGCGTATTTCACAAGCGAGCCATTTCCAAAACACATTGCAAATGCGGTAGATAACAACTTGATATCTGAACAACGTGAAAAGATGGGATCCGTTTCTTATCGCCCAGTGCTACTAAGTCAATTTATAGCCTCTTTGGGGAGCTTGGGGGAGAAGCTTTTTTCGCCGAGGTAGATTTATTTTTAATTTATAGTAGCGTGATTTTAGGTAACTCGTGAAACGAGGGGTACTGGGTATGTTGGATTGCTTTCAAAGTGACACATGGTGCTCATAAGCCTTATCATGAACTATCGACGAGTGAGTAGACAAATCAAGCGCGTGGTAGTTGAGATAAAACCATAGAAAATATCGTAGGGACTATGTTGTAGGTGTTTGGGAGATGGCGGCTCGCTTGTGAAAGATGTGACGTGGGTGCTAATGTGTCCCGGTGGAATTTTGTGGCTAGCTGAATTGACGCTGATTTGATACTATTACTGCACCCATAGAAGCTGGATGTTAAGTATTTGATACCCCCTACCTGCGCGTGAGTTTTGTATCCTTGTAAATTGACCATCTGGGCCTCCAAGAACGTCATATCCAAGTACCTGATGTGTGAGCTGTAGCTCCATACAGCCACTCGGTCATTGATTGAGACAAACAGAGTCTGCATGCGGTCTATGGAGAAATGGACATACCCGCTTGAACCTATTAACTCAGCCACAAAAGAGCTGGAAGATGCTGGCAGCTCCATACAAATTACCACAATAGAACGCAAACTCTGCAATGCTCCCCACCCGACCGCGAGGGCATGACTTCGAGAGCAGCATCTCTTTTCTTTTGCAGATGACCCGGTCACACCGAGATCCACCGGACGTTGCATAAGGTGGCACGGCTGAGGAAAGAGACTGGTATTATTTCGATCGTCGTTGTGTGATCCGCGTATTTTGAACTTGAGCTAAGAGAGAATCCGTTTTTGGCCGACTAGAGTCGAATTAAACGGAATTATATTTTGGCATCCTCTTTTTTTCCCCCCCGCCATGCTCTGTCCTCTGTCCCTCTATTCATACTTTCGAATCCAATAGAATGGCCGCCTTGGAGTGCGCTAGACTGGAGGAAAACGTCCTGCCAACTACTATCGATAAGCTTACCATTCGAAAAGAAGACGATGGCAACTTCACATTGACTGCATTACCTGAGACCTGCTCTGTCACTGCAATCGTCGAATCTGTCCTCGGCCACTCCGTCGAGCTACACCGTCTTCAAGCCTCTGGCGCAGAAGGCCAATCTGGCTGTTACATCTATTTCGTTCGGGACAGTAGCCATCCAGAAAAAACCATCGCCGTCACAAAAGTATATCCCCCAGCATGTCACAAAGACTTTTTCGAAGAGCTGGTTGCATACCGGAGATTGCTATCTCTTTCTGATCCACCGTCTGCTGCTCGGCCCCTTGGAGTGGGAAGGACGCGCGATGAGAACACCGCAGAGCCGATGGGAGTGATTGTCTATCAGCTTGCAGCAGGAAAAGCAATTAACACAATTATTCGTGACATTGGTCGGGTCTCCTCTCTCAAATTGATCGCAAAGCAACCTTGTCCCGAGGAAACAACGGAAATGATGGATGATATCATTCGCGGCGCGCTCCATGGGATCTCAATGAATCATAAATCACACCAAGCTCGATCGTCAAATATCACCACCGCTGAGATGCTGGACTGTCAATTCAATGGATTGATGGCTGATTTGATTACCGCCGTACAAGGAGTGGCATTAACGCTGGCCAAGCTGCACCGGGAAAAAACCGGATGGAGTAGCGCCAGCGAGTCTGTCGTCGACAAGCTCCGCAGCAAGCTACAGAGTTGGGTCGAAGAGATCCAGGGCCCATCGCGAGGGCAGTATGAACGCGCCATCGGATCTGATCAAATAGAGCAATTAACCTTACTGGTCGATCGGGCAATTGATGACTCGCGGGAAGAAGGTGTAGCATCACTAATCCATGGCGATGCCTCGCCGGGAAACTTCTTCTGGGATCCCATTCAAGGAATCACCATGATCGACTACGGTGGACTGAGTCGCTCGATGGATGCGAGCGGTCGACCTATGGGACCGGCAGAAATGGATGCGGCTGGGTTTCACGAGCGGCTGCGGAAGTATGCCGGGGACTTCGGAATGAGTGAAGCTGACATTGGCCAGGTCCAGGGGGAGTTCTGGAAAGCATACCAGGCGCAGGGTATACCAATCAACGAAGGGCTTACCCGGTTGTTCAAAACACGCACGCAACTATCTCGACTATGGTCTGCTGTGGATAAGCAAGATACATCGCGCGATGTACATAAATCTATCCAGCTCAGTGAAAAGGTTAAATTTGAATGGGAACGTCTTGTCAATATCTCACCTGAAAAGATCCAACCCTGGAGAGTGCTCGTCGTTGCCAACGCCAGCGGGCCAGGTAAAGGGGGTCTGCCTCTGTTGAATCAAGAACTAGTCAAAGCCATGTCGGAAATTCCCAATGCATCAGTTACTCTGTTCATGGTACAGCCCGAGAATGAAGACAAAACCACGCTGGTATCATCGGGGCATGGTCGGGCTAATGTGGTCTGCATTCCCCCTCGAGGAGACGACCCAAGTGCCTTGCTCTACCATGTGGCAAAGGTACACCAGCCAGGAGACTATGGTTTGCCAATTCTAGATGGCAAGCATCCATCCCCATTCAATCTAATCATTGGCCACTCGCGATACTCTAGTACCGCAGCTTCCTTGATCCGCGAAAGATGGTATCCCACAGCAAAGCTCGCGCTCATCACACATACCAGTGCGCTGCGAAAGTCCGACATCGCGTGGAAGTGGTATGGACAAACACGAGAGCTAGGCTATGTCGAAGCCGCTCGGCTGGCAATGCTCGACGAGAGGATTCTCCCGAGAGCAGATTTGGCCGTTGGAGTCGGACCGGTACTTACAACTGAAGCACGTGAACGCGAGTGGATGGGCCAATGCAATCGCCCACGATCTAACATGATGGGACCTCGCTTCCATGAACTCGTTCCAGGCATACGCACGGGTGATGCTTGTACAAATCAGCGACAGCCGAACGACCCGTTTCGGGTCCTCCTCGCTGGTCGAGCTGACGATCCCGCAAAAGGTTTAGACGACGCCGTGTACGCTGTGCGCAAGATCGCACTATCTGGAAACGACATATCCCTGGATGTGCTTGGGGTGCCAGCAGAAGAATTGGAGCGCTGGCAGCAGGCCGTCGATGAGATGACAGGCACACCAGACCTTGTCAGGTTGCACCCATTCTCTGATGACCCAAACGCGGTCTCGCAATTTTACTGTCTCGCGGACCTGGTCATTATGCCCTCAATGCATGAGGGATTCGGAATGATCTTCACTGAAGTCGCCGGGCTGGGTGTTCCAATCCTAGTGACGCAAGAAAGTGGTGCGGGCCAGTTTGCGCTTGATCGCAGTCGCATTCCGCTGGAGCTTGGTCAGGCCTGTGTGGTGATGGACGAGAGCACATATGGAATTCAGCCTTCACCGACAAGCCAGCGCGTAGCTGTTTGGGCTCATCGAATCGACCAAGTGAGATGTTACCCGGAGCAAACGAGACTGCATGCTCGTTCGCTACAGCGAATCATGCGAGGTTATTCATGGAAACATGCCGCTAAGGCTCTGCTTCGATCCGCAATGGAGGGCGAGGGAGATACAGTGCAGATGGCTCACGGTAGCGTTGCACCGGCATGTTCATCATGGCCTCGACCACCACTTGAGATGAGCGTAGTATCGTCAATGCGTCGAGCCGCACGAACGCGAAATCTGAGTGGAAAGCCGACCTTTAAGCAGACAGATGAAGTCATTCAAACCCTTCCAGAGATAGCCCCAACAATTTCAGCGCTAGAAGAACATGTCTCCGCTGCCGTGGGGTTTCCTGTCAACTTGCGAAGTCTGGATCCCATCCACCATGGAGGATTTTCTGGTGCTATTATTTTCTTTGCCTACGCCAGCGATGAATTTTCCTATGAAGAGACACCATTGGTTTCGAATGACACGTCCAATGGTCGTGTGGTTGCTGTGGTCAAATTGTTCGTCCATGGCTTGGACAACGGGATCACAGAAGAGTTGTCAAGCCTTGAATGGATTTTTTTGCAGACAAAGGGAGATATCAAGACTGCCGCCCCGTTGGCCGTTGGGCGCATGATGTGGGACACCAAGCCAGCCGGTGTGGTCACATATCAAGTTGCGCCCGGAGTATCTCTTTATCAGCTCATGATGCAGATGGGCCGCCTACCGCCGGGACCTGCAAGAAGGGAAATGCTATCTGTCTTCACTGCTGCCGTGCAGGCAGTTGCACGTGCCTTAGCCAGACTACACACTCATAGTGTTGAAGGACGTCCAGGCACACGATATCTGGAGTGGTACTTTGACGCGGCAACGAAACGAGCCCAGCAGGCATTGTTGTACAAAGACAGCATTCGTTCCGCGGGACTCGAGGCGAGTCAGCTCCCTGAGAAAATCAATCAACTTATAGCCGATTGCAAGCGTGAGATGGCTAGTTGCCCGCGCACCACTGTAGTACATGGGGACGCCCATCCTGGAAATTTCATTTATGACCGCGCGACGGGGCATGTCACTATGATCGACACAATGACGCTACACTATTCTCTGGATCAGAATGGTGATCCCATCGGAGTACCGGAGCGAGACCTGGGCCACTTCGTGCATATGCTGCGACGGACGGGCGAACAATATGGCCTTTTGCGACAGGAAATGCAGGAGAGCACGACTGATTTTGTGGAGGCGTATCTCGGAAATGCAGCGGCGCCGGCAAATCTCCAAATCATTCGGTTCTTGACGTCATGTTCAGCTCTTTCATTCTTGAATTATGCAGCGCAGTCTGATCAGACAAAATTAGAACTGCAGGTTAAAATTTTGCAGGATTTACTTCAGCTTGGAGAGGGTTGGACAAAATTGGATGGGATGCGAGGTTAATAAAAAGGAATCAGTGGTTGCTTTGTACTTTAGATATTCTTTCGGATCTTGTGATCTATCTCGGGAGTTATGGTGATGATTGGTACTCTTGGATGAGTTCGATACCTTGACATATTTACCCTGGCCGTCTCTTTGCGCTCTTTTGGTCCATCGAGTAGGTCTGATTGCGCTCAGTGTTTGCTAGGAAGTGTTCACCATGAGACAAAATGTGCCAATCCATCTTATTGGCCCGCTTTCTTGGAGTAATTCCAACGGATTTTGCCGTACTTCGTGGTAGCAAATGTTGCTTGTTGCTGGCAAGATAGACCGACAAAACAAGCAACAAAATATTGGTAAGCAGCCAGATTTAGGTGCCTGGGTGGCGAGCGATTGTGGGCTCCACACGATTTAGAGGAGCGTCTCTTGGTTAAGCTGGGAGCTGTGTTCATCCAGAGTGTGGCTCTCGGAGCTTGATCCTGGAACATTATCCAGCTTTCATAAGAGAATTTGAGTGTCATGGGTGGTTCATTTCGCAAAGGGGTTCGCGTGGATAGTCACATTATTGATCTTGAATGCTTCAAAATCATCACCCTCTTTGGGCTGAGAAACTTTCCCCTTCTTGTCGACCTTTACATTCGCCTTCTCGAGATTGGCAAGAACATCACCGCCTTCGTCCTGGGGGCTCAAATTTAATACCTTTCCAAACACAGTACTGGCGCCATCAAGATGTGGTGCCGGCACGAACGTAATGAAGAATTGACTCCCGTTGATCGTTGCGCCCGTTGCGCCCTGGCAGCCAGGCGCTGTCCTGTCTTTCACCGGGCGAGATGCCATAGACAGAATGCCCCGTGCGTTGTGTCGCAGCGACGGGAGATGGATTTCTTGGTTCATTGCCGCCGGGTGGTAGATCGATGTGCCGCCTTTTGGGATCTCGAAATCGAGCATTGGTTTCGTACTTGTTTGATGCGCGGCGGGCCCGAGAGAGATATCTCCGCCCTGGATCATGAATCCTGGGATGAGGCGGTGAAATGGGGTGTTGTTGTATGCACCACATGCGCAGAGGGCGAGGAAGTTCTCTGCGGTCTGGGGTACTGCTTCGCAGAAAAGCTCGACCTTGAGGTCGCCTTGGGTGGTATGTAACTGTTGAAGCCAAAATTAGCATCATGCCATAGAAACCAGAGCTGCAGAGAGATTCTGAAGCATTTTTCACATGTGGACTTACTGTAACAGACATAATTGAGGGGATTATGTGAGGTGTTGTTTCTGACGTGCAAGAGGATCAGATGCGGCATCGAGGTTCCCCGTGCCCCAAGCCGGGGGCTAGATAGAGTGCTTAGTCATGTTTTTTTCCTTATCCACGCGCCAGGTTGTCAGCCCAATCCCTTCAATTCAGATACAGTTGGCTCAATTTGAAATTAAGTCACGCTGAAAGGTTCCAGGAAGCTACCTTCTGCTTTATATTTTCTCCAAGACCCTTGCACTTTTCGGATACGGCCATATCTTACCTGGCCCCTCAGGCAAAGCCAACTTGGTCCACAAGATTTAAAGAACAATGAACAATCGGCCAGTGGAGCAGGCGTTGAGCACATTGGTCCCAACTCATGCCAATGACCTCCCGCAAGAACTACTCAGCTATGCAATGTCACTAGTGGCACAGTCCCGGGGCTTCTCGAGTAGCCTGAAGCCGGAAGAGGAAATCGCTCGACCATATGCCTGCGCAGAAATTGCCTGCAGAAGGTGTGCCACAAGTCCCGAATGAGACTTTTCTATAGCTGGCTCGATTCCAACATGCTAATGACTTGTCTCGGACTTCTATAGGCTGACCCGAATTCTTAAACTTCCTCCGCTGCTCGGACATCCGCCATGTCCTCCGCGCATATACAAAAAGCTCTACTCATACCTTGACCGATCTCTCACATCAAGCTCCACTAGTATCAAACGCTCAGTAAATGGATCGGTTCCCGGAACTCCTTCACGCGCCGGTTCAGCGCAGACTACACCAACAAAAGGCACAGCAGCCAGGAACACCCCTTCCAAGGCAGTAGGGCCAACAACACGAGGACTACAGAATACACCTTCGAGGTCGACACCCTTGAAACGAAGTATAAGCACGGCAAACCGGCTCGAGAGCCCATCAAAAACAGCAAGAAAAGCTACAGCCCCCCGAACGCAGGACATCCATGGGTCAACCATCATTCCAGATGCCCCGGGTTGGGTAATGACAGCCATCCGGACTGTATGCAAGATTCTCTCCACTCCTGCTCCGCGCACAAACACCTGGTCCAGGCCTCCAATCTCGAGGACCCTGCCTCCGCATATCTTTTCTGGTGTGTCGTCCGTCCTCTATCTCACGTCGAGCATGTCCAACGACGAACCGGGGTGGGACCGGGAAAGCTTGGATTTCCTTGAGCCTATTGTGTCCATCAATGGTTCTGATAAGGACGATGATTTCAAAGAACTAGTCTACGCCATGGCTGTTGCTGTATACTTCCTTGTGCTCGCCCGTCGGCGTAACCCCGGGCCAGATGCAGAGGCGGATATCGAAGCGCAGAAAATGGACAAGAAGACTTTTATTGAAATGCGTCAGACCGCACTGAACAGCCTTGGGCTGAAGGCTAATGACCGGAGGCATCGTGATGATGTTGACCAATGGATCACTCTTATCATGGAGCAAGGATGGGCCAACGGTCAAGAATGGTTCGAGAATATCCCCTATGCTGGACAGCTCTATGGCGAAGACGAAGAAGGCAGGTCCTACCAAGATCTGGACGAAGAGGATGCGACACTCAGGGGTGTTAGGCCGCCTAAACGTTCGGCAGCTGGGAGTGGGACTCGTATCTCGCAGTCAGATCATGCTCCGCGTGGCGGTCTTTTGCCTGGACTGGGTACAATGATGCAGGATCGAGTTGACTGGTTGTGTGATGATCGTCAAGAGGATTATGTGAATTGGAAAGCGGACATCATGGCTCGCATCGAAGGTGCAGCTGTTTAAGCTGTCGTGCGATGAAATATTATCTCAAAGGGGACGCAACCTGCTACTTTAATTGATACCCTAATTTATAAATCAACATGTAATTTCTATGTTACTCCTCGATAACCAAAGGAATTGGCTTTGCCATGTCTATGTTTTGGTTGTATGCTCCTGTTACTCCAGAGCAACCCAATATCCCAAATCACCATTATGACAACCCAACTCCATGCGCCGTCAATGACGCCAAAACCAATGACCAATCATCTTAGTACCAAATGCTTCTCGTCCGGTGATGAGGTATGGACTCGTTTTTCTCTGCCTCCAGGCTCTTCATTGTGTCGTACAAGAAAAAGTCAATGAGGATCGCATTGATGCCATATGTCTTTCGCGGTTTCTCTTCAATTTTCAATTTCTCATCCGAGTCTTCACTTTCATGGCTCTTATCGTCGCCAGGAGGCCCCTTGGAAGGGGACTTTTCGCGGTTCATTTTGACCTCCGGGTGTTGTTTTTCGATCTCTCGTTTGATCAACTCAACACACCAAATGCTGGTTCCACGAAGCTCGATCTCCCAGTTTGAACCTGGTTCAATGGGCTTCAAGTCACGGATATGGTTTTCCAATTTAGGTGCGTAGCGAAGACAGTTCAGCTGATGCAGCATCTGTGGAATGCGGTAGTCTAGGAAATACGGTTAGAATGAAGTTGAGGGGGTAGTGAGGCTCGCAAGGACCATACCTGCAAACATGGTGATCTTGTCAATGTCATGGAATTCACCAAAGTCTTCGCCGTTGAAACAGGCCCAGAGATCGGCAACCAGGATCTGAGCACGTTTGTAGAGCCGCACTTTCTTTCCGTGGAAGATGGTCTCGTCGCGGAAGCAGCAAAAGCTCTCTGTTAAGATGTTGACCAGTCCTGCGGCGGAGAGGTTAGCACTATCAATGCAGTTAATAAAGCTGCCGCCGAACTCCTATATCCGATTAGTACACCTCAGATAGCCAAGGCGGTAAGAGCGTAAGAGCTATAATACCTCGCAAAGAACCTCGCCTGCTTCACGTAGACATTGCACTCGTTCTTTGAACATAGGAATCTCCCCATCTGTTGCAGAACGGAATACATGTCTGAGTAGCTCGTCCGTGCACCTTTCTTCATCCACCCAGAAGTCGGGGGTTGTGATTGGAATATCTGAAGTTGGTGTAAGTACTCATCATTCCAAAAAAAAAATAGAGTCCAATCAAGGAGCTGACCTTCATCAAGTGCTCGTTGTAGTGCAGCAACCAGACTCCAATAACCAGTCCACAGCTTGCCACGATACTCAATGCAGAATCGTTTTGGCTCTTCCTCTTCCTCAGACCAGAAACTGAAGTTTAACAAGTCCATTGTAAAAATGAAATCAACTGTGCTCTCATCTTTGGTCTGTGGGTGTAGTTCATGCTCCGACCAGGTGTGTGTGGAATACTCTTTCTTCTGCATCATACGCCATATAGTTTCCGCAGCCTCTTTGGTGTGAGCAAGGCTGACTGCAACATCAATGGCATTGTCGAAAACATACTGAGCCCCATCAAGCACTTTGGTTTCTGGCGGGGCATCTTTTGGCTTTTCGCCCAGTCCGAAATGCTGGCGAAGAAGCTCTACCAACTCAGGGTCGGCTTCATCGTCGGAATTGATCTCGACCTGATCATTTTTCTGGGCTGGAATTGGGTCCAATGATGGCATGATCCTTTTTTTTTTTCGTGTTGTTTGATCTTGACTGAGAACTAATGGGAAAATATGGAGTCAGGGGTATCTTTGATATCGCCTGAAAGGATGCCTGTAGGTCTAGACCCGGCAAAGATTCCACCCCACCTGGATATTCGAATCTGTTGACTGAAATAAGCAATTGTGCGATATAAAAATACTTGAACACGACAAACCCTTCGAGTGGCCTGTGTGGTTTTTTCTCGCCACACCGAGATTTTGATCCGATGGCCTCTGGATAGAGTCACCGGTTATGTAAGCAAACACAACATCCATAGATGCCCATCATGCATCTGGAAGGCCCTTGGGTGTGTGCTGCGGTAGTAAATACCAGTGAGATTGATTTGCATCGGGGAGTATTCGCTATTAGCATAGGTGTGTACGTTGCAGCTTAGTTTATAGGAACACAGGCTCTGCGGGTCTGAACTACCTGGTACCTGATCAGAAGAATATCTGGATAGCACTGTCATGACCATGATACCAGTAACATTTTGTTTTAGGATCATACCTAATTTCGTTTATCTTCAAGTTGGCCGGGGTAGATGCGCTCTCTACATCTTGCCGAAATGTAAAGATAATCGCCTAACTAAAGAAAAGATCAGAAAACAATGTCAGTTACACTCTGCACCTAGCACCTTTTTATTCTTTTGGTCCCAAGTGGAAAAAAAAGTTAACTAGATGTCGAGCGAAAGTGAGTGGAAACCCACGTGTGAGGCTCCTAGTAAAGTGCCGTCATCGTCAACGGTCACTGTTTCCGGCTCACTTCTTTCACTTGCTCCCTTCTTTGATCTCGTCCCCCTTCGCAATTTATCTCTAGAACATACCACTACATTACTCCACCACTCCACCACTCCACTACTACATCACTACATCACTAAACCTTCACAAAACTAAACCGCTACCTGATCGCAATCTTCATCTACTGCCCGCCATGCGGGATAGCTCTCTCAAGCGCTCCCTTGGGGTAGACCTCACCCGCTCCCTCAAAGAGGTAAGTATACCGTGCTGGCGTGCAATCCTGATGTTCAAGGGATGTCGACTTGGAAATACATTCTGACCGTTTTCGCATCACGTTAGTCACGCGTTCTTCTTGTCGGCGCAGGCGGCATCGGCTGTGAGCTTCTGAAAAACCTCGTCCTCACCGGGTTCGGCGAAATCCACATCATCGACCTTGACACCATTGATTTGAGCAACCTCAATCGTCAGTTCCTTTTTCGACATGAACATATCAAGAAATCAAAGGCCTTAGTACGTCAAACCGACTCACCCTGCGCACTTGCGCCGCTCCCTTGCGAACTCCCCCAAGCGCCGCGCGTTCGCATTATGTGAGCGGTCCAGAGATGGTAGATATGGAACACTGAGATGTGGAAATTTTCATTTAGATTGCCAAGGAAGTTGCGCAAAAGTTCCGGTCTGACACAAAGCTCGAGGCCTATCATGCAAACGTCATGGATGCCCAGTTCAACATCTCGTGGTTCGGGTCCTTTAACGTTGTGTTTAATGCGCTGGATAACATCGCCGCAAGACGACATGTGAACAAGATGTGCCTTGCAGCCAATGTACCCTTGATCGAAAGTGGAACCACTGGCTTCAATGGTCAGGTTCAAGTCATTCAGAAGGTATGCAACAAAAGCGATATCTAGCCCCGCCCCCAGATTGGACGTATTCTGACTGCGCATTGTACTAGTCGCAAACCGAGTGTTATGATTGTACCCCAAAAGAAACTCCCAAGTCATTCCCCGTGTGTACGCTCCGCACCAACCCTACCCAGCCGATTCACTGCATCGTTTGGGCGAAGAGCTACCTCTTGCCGTAAGGCCCATATCCAAAACTCTCCAATTTGAATGCTTACCTTTGAGTAGGGAACTTTTCGGCGATAGCGAAGACGAGGCACCGGAGGTGGACGTCTCAGAAAACGCAGATAACGGTTGGTTCAATTTCTTCTATAACTTGCCGATGAGACTGATATTAGTCTAGCAAATGAAATTGCAGAACTACGCAAGGAAGCTCTGGAGCTCAAAGAGTTGCGAAAATCGCTAGGCACCGAGGAAGCCTTCCAGAAGATCTTTGATAAAGTTTTTCGAAGGGACATAATACGATTACAGAGTATGGAGGATATGTGGAAGGAAAGGGAGCCACCAGAGCTCCTAGACTTTGCTCAACTCCAAGAAGAATCCGCTTTGATTGCCTCGACAATTTCCACGCATGACCAGGTAGTGTGGACACTGGCGGAGAATCTCAGCGTTTTCCGGGATAGGTAGGAACTATCCGTAGCCGACAGCATACGTTCGATATACTAACACGCTACAGCTTGAACCGGTTGACCCACCGTCTCAAGCAGCTTCAAGAAAAGTGCCTCCCGGGCCAAGACTCCCCGATCCTTACATTCGATAAAGATGATGTGGACACGTTGGACTTTGTTACCGCAACCGCTAATCTACGAGCTGCTATTTTTCACCTGGAACTCAAATCTAAGTTTGATGTCAAACGTGAGTTTATCAACCAGGTGTGCACATTTCAAGGCCATCATAATTGACAACGATTTAATAGAGATGGCGGGCAATATCATTCCTGCCATTGCAACCACCAATGCTATGACGGCTGGACTGTGCGTTCTTCAGTCACTGAAGGTGTTTCAAAACAACTTGATGCATGCCAAAATGGTAAGAACCGAACAAGGGAGCCCAGTACTATTCAAGCTAACAAGCCATCTCTCTGAAAGGTTTTCCTGGAGAGATCCGGTGCTCGGGCAATCAATTCGTACTCGTTGAACCCCCCAAACCCCGGTTGCGAAGTCTGCTCTCCTGTGGTGGTTCGGGTGGAAATTGACCCTGAGCTAGCAACCCTTGAACACCTCATCCACGGTGTTCTCCAGATGGAGCTCGGTTATGGTGAAGAGATTTCTGTTGCCTGTGGCAATATACTATTCTATGACTCCGACTTCACGGACGACCTGGCGGAAAAGCTGTCTGACCTAGGCCTCAAGAATGAGAGCTTCATCACGGTCAAAGATACGAAGAAACTGGATGCGCGAGTCGACATTGAATGCTTGCTCATGGCAAGGTAGGCGCTGTTTTTTTTTCAAGAATACTGGGCAATCTTGATTGATGGATTTGCAGAATCGAGCCATATTCCCAGAACTCCAAGCCCGCAACGCTGCAGAAGATGGTTGAGATACCCCTGAAGTCAGTGGAGCCAGTGGAGCCTGCGCAGCCTTCTACCGATCCAACAGCTACCGACGATGCAACTGTGACTGGGAAGCGCAAGCGTGAAAGCTCAAGTGATGATGTGGAGCAGAGCAGCCACGATGTTAAACGGGTCGCAAGCGCATCCGTTCCTGACTCCAAGGGCATTGAAGCTATTGTTCTTGACGATGAGGAGGGAGGTGCAATCATGATCGACGATTGAATGCGAAGAACCGACTTTCAAGGGGCACCTCAAGGTATAACTAGCAACCGTCACAGGTATTTTTCTTGATTTTATTCTCTTCATACGTTCAGTATTCCCCTATTCTATTTGCTTACCACCTTCTTCAAACCCTTCTGTATCATATGGCATAAAGGCGAACCTGATTTCAGTCAAGCAGAGCGGTTCAAAATCCCAGGTTGACGAGCATGCTTTGGGTATGGACAAGATGATACGTCATGGGACTTTTGTACCTTAACTGCTCAACGGCGTTTTCCAGGTTGATAGATTACTAGAACATGACCTGATAATTGAAAAAACATAGGCACCTGGGCAAGATTTTAAGCTTTCGGGCTGAATGTCGCAGGAATTGATGAACTGTTAATTGAGGGCGTGGAAACCGGTAGCGAGTAATTCGGGTTGACGTATGGGAGATGTCCAACTATGTGATGTTTTGCAACCTTCGAAACGGGTCGGCTCGCTTAAAAAATCGAAGCAGGTGAAACCATGTTATGTATAGAACACTAGTTACCCACATAGGTACCCCGTAAATCTTGCGAAGAACAGAAACCTCTGTAGAGAAACATGTGGGGAGCCCGATGTCGCCTGAATGGAAGTCATGTTAAAGCACACCAAGGTGCACCCAATCTATACACATTGGCACCCCAATGTAGCAAAAGGCTCAATCTTCCCTTCGTATCTCGTCATCTCATCGTAAGCTATTTAAAATAAAACTAGATCTATCTCTACTGGCGTGTGGTTGAATCCCTGTCCTCTGAAGTCCGAGTGTTTGCGCCATGAAGCTCGCACAACATCTCGCGCTTCTTCCACTTTGCCTGACAGGGAACATTCGGTATTAAGTATATTAGATAGAAGTTTCAGTAACAGTGTTGTTCTTGAAGGACTGATGAACATTTCCATATAGAGGCTCTTTACAAATACATATGTTTCGGGTACTAAACGTTTCACTTGGATTGAATCAAACGGCACTTAATCCTCCATCGAGGTTAAGCACACAGTTGTTGGCATATTCATTCTGCGCTAAGAACACAGCCGCATCAGCAATCTCGCGTGGATCTCCAAATCGATGAAGAGGAATGAGATCTTTCAGCCTGCTCGTTTCCCCCGTGGTAAAGTCTAGCATCGAGATCAGTTAGTACAAGAACATATTAAGAATGTCCAAACCAACATACCTGCAACCATGGGTGTTTCAATGTACCCTGGCACAATAGCATTTGACCGAATGACAATATCTTTCCTAGAGGCCGAGGCCTCAACGGCCAATGACCGTGTTAGACCGAGAAGGCCAGCCTTGGAAGCAGCGTATGGAACTGCGCCAGTTCCGCCCTTGAGTGCAAGTAAAGAAGAAACGTTGATAATGCATTTTGACAGGACTTTGATTCCCGCAGCTGAATCACTCCGATTCCGTATCCGGCTCCGGATAGAGGCACGCATTAACGCGCGGGAAGTGAGAATTGCACCCTCAAGATTAGTCCGTAAAGTTGTGGAGATATCTTCCAGCTCAGACCTTGGCAGAATATTTGATACCGAAATTCCTGCTGCGTTGACTAGGATGTCCACATTTGCCTAGACGGAGTTTAGGAGGGGATATTTCTTTGAGCCAGGCGAGGTGGTTTACCATTTCTTTTTCGAGCTCTCGCATCCATGACCCGGCATCTGAAACGTCTCCGACAAGTAGACGGATCTTTCCTTGCGTGCTTTGCTGGTTGTTTCCTTCTGGGACACGAGTTGCAATATAGTCGCTGCTTTCAGTAAAGTCTGATTCTGTCACTGTGATGGACCCAAGTTTTGCCGCTGCTTCCTCTAGGCGCTTTTGAGATCGGCCGACGAGGACTATAGTCGATGCGCCTTCTTGAAGAAATCGTTCGGCAATAGCGAAGCCGATGCCGGACGTCCCACCGGTAATCATGCAGTTTCGGCCGGCAAGTCGGTTTCCATGCTGAAATGAATTATAGTTTTGTTCATTTGGTTGAGATGAGTATGATCGCTTTGTAGATTCCATAGGATGACTTGACCCTTGGCTGGTGACGTAGCCTACATTGCGTAAATTGATTGGGCTTGACAAGGCTCGATGAAAGAAGATTGACCCTCGCAAGCGAATCAGAGGACCACTCGAACTGCCCATTCTGATTTGCCTTGTCTGAATACCAAGCAAAATGCGAGCTCGGGAGGATCGGGTGCGTCATGGGCAGCTTCCGCACGGACCAACACGCAGAAGGCTCTTTCGTCCCACAGCGGTCGAGTTCCTACAACTACGCGAATACGCGTGCTTGAATCATGGCGCCATCCACGGATTCCGAGTTTGTGACCATAGTCTCAAATGACGGATTTGAATTCATTGTCCCTCGCAGCGCAGCTTGTGTTTCGGGGGCCTTACGCGCCATGCTTTCTTCGAGTACGTGGACTTGGGATCTATTGCTGCATTGGTTGTACTAACCACCAACAGCCAATTTCCCCGAGGGTCGGACTGGTATATGTCACTTGGAATACTCGTATGTCTCGTATCTATCTTCCTCACACTTTTCCGTGGATACTGCTAATGAAGTTGTTGCTTTGCAGTGGTATCATTGTCGAAAAGATCTGCGAATACTTTTGCTACAATGAAAAGCACAAGGACCAGGTCAACGTGCCGGACATGGACATTCCGCCTGAGCTGTGTCTGGAGCTCCTGATGGCGGCTGATTTCTTGAATACTTGATTTGCATGTGATGCTTTTGAGCCTCTGGTTCTTATCACCTGCGTTGCTGAGACCTTTGACATGCATCCTTGTTTCAACTCGCATCGGTTTTAAAACTGATTCATGGCACAATGGCAAAATACTCGACTCTAATGACACCACCACGGGGAGCTCCAGACTAACTCACATACATAGGCTTGATCATGGCGTTATGTCATAGCATGTATTCTTTCCAATAGAATACATCTCACGTTATGCGTACATTTTTCATTTCTATCCCAGTACCTTGGATTTCTGCAGAAGGCCTCCTATCCCATCTGAGCATTTGCAAACGGTCAAATACATCTATGGCCGATTTTGTCTAAAGATGATGGCAGATCAAAAAAACCTCCAATGACAACGCACTTGTCAATCTACCACTGACAAAGGGTTTGGATCATAGGAGACAACTTGACCATAATTCCATGTTCCTATCGTAGAGTTCTGTACGGGGGTCATTGACATGCCCAATTTGTATATCAGAAGAAGTTGGATGTTCCAGTGGCTGAGTCAGCAACCAACAAACACCGAGGGCTGGGCCCGGCTCCACCGGGGCGAATTCCAAGTGCCCGCCATCGTGAAGATCGCTCTTACATCTTGATTTGCGGGATGCTGTTCACAGGAGCATTGCTCACTGTGGTCTTCAGTCGAGTCGGAATAATTTTCGACTATTGAACATTCCATTTTCCTAAGCTAACAGTTAGATGCACTGGCAGCCTTCTGTGTTGATTGCATTCTCTCCCCCCCCCCCCCACGATCACTGACAAGGGTCACCCGCACAGGCGCATACAGCACCGGCTCGTCATGTCAGGCATCGCGGGACCCTCCACAATACCAACAACTTCTAGCACGGCTTTGTTGCAACATTTGAATACAATTTTGTCGCCAAACCCTTCTTCTTTCTCCTCTTTACCGCATCAACTTTTGTCCTCTCCCCTTCGCGCTCTTCAACACGCCGAGACCTTTGCCCTTCGAACGGTTCCCCAAACCCTCGCTAGATTTCCCGGAATTAAAGCCTTTGGCCAAACCATCCAAAGTGGGGCTGGTTCAGCAGCTAGAGTCAGCAGTACTGCCGCAACACATGCAGCGGATATGGCTGGAAATGGGTTCGCCGATGCAGCCGGCCAAGAGAGTGGCTACTACATTGCCGAGTTCTTGGGCGCCATAAAGAAGCTCGGTGGATTCTTTGGGTACCTGACAAGTCTTTGGTCATTTGCCTGTCTAGTTGAGGTAAGACCCTGCTCTTGATTTGTACCCTTACCATACTGATAGGTCTAGGCGCTTATCCTCAACCGAATTACCATCTTTGCATCCACGCGGCGACACCTTCGACTAGGATGGGAAAGGCGCCTGGCTCTCCGATTGATCCCTATTGTTCTCTTCGCCTCTCAAATCCGCAGCCTGCTTCGTGGAATTCGATGTCAGACATCGCCGTCCTTTTCAACAACGCGCTATGGATACCCCGGAAAGCAACTTGGCTTCGACTATTCTAGTGACGGAGGTATTCTTTACTCGATAAGCTCAGCCCTGTTAGTATGGGAGTCGGAGGAACGGTCGTGCAGTGCCGTGAAGATGGCGCGCGGAACCGCCCCTGGTGTCCCATACGGATCATTTTCCCTACTCTGGCCGACATTCATGCTTCTTTGCCTGAGTCACTTCATTGAAACATTCTCGTGCGCATTGCAAGGCAGACCCGTGATGACTGAGACGGGGATGTCCATCTTCGAACACTCAATCGCCTTCGCAGAAGCCGAGTCGATGATCAGTAAATCTATCGGACTAGGCTTATTCGGTCTTCCAAAAAAAAGCCCACTCAGTGCGCTTTCGGGTGGGTCTGATGACAGCTCAACGTCGGCGCTTGAACTCCTAACAAGATCGCAAGTCTTGGAACGCATGAATGTCACCCCCGAACTGCTCCTTATTGTGTTGATCTCGTGCTGTAATAGTGTAACTTCCCACATTCTAGAAGTCTATGGGAAGCAGAGCAAATATCGGCTTTTTAGCACCGCCTTTTGGGGTGGCTGCTTCATGGTAGCCATGTTGTGGGGGTTAGATGGCGGCCCGCCCGTCAGCCTGGACACTGGCGTTCTCAGGTTCCCGACTGTCTGCATTGTGGGATTCATCCCACATATCTTTTTGTTGGGCGGCATCGTGATCTGTCTTCTAATCTACGCTTTAGCACTTACCATCACCGCTGTTTCGCTGCCTTCGGACGATCAACCTGTCTCACTCTATGACCGTTTCTTGATGGCCCATGAAAATATGCAAGGCTCGAACCAGATAAGGAACATTCGTATCAACAGACACGAAGACTTTTATACAACATTGCTTCGAATCGGCTATGTTGCCCTAACTGCAGCAAGTGAGGCCGTGTTCTTGAATGAGGGCCAATCGGTCGTTGCACGGCGGATGACGTGGCTAGAGGAGGATCGCCTTTCTGAGATTGAAGCATCGAGGCGGAAGTCTACATCTCATGGGAATTGGCAGAGTGAACCTAGCAGTCGGCCTATCGAAGCTATGGGGTTCTCAAGTTTCGATATGCCAGAACAATCTGTTTGGGAGAGTGGTTACAACCGCGAAAAGAAGATCGAGAAACCCAAGAATGGTGCTCGTGCTGTGCAATCTCGGGCTGAGCTTGGGGGAGTTGGCGCAGTGCGAGTATCTATCAGATTGTGGCATGTCCTCTCGTTCTTCCGCGCAATTTCGCTCATCATGCTCCGCTGGGCTGCACGTGGGCTCAATCACGTGCTTGATCGCCTGGGAATAAGCGCTCGGCCGATGTGGCTCAAACGCATTGTGGGCGACCGTGGACAGAAGTCTAACGTCGACAGTACGAATCAATCACAGCCATTAGATTTCTGGATCCTCTCTGAAAATGGAGAGCTTGAGCTTCCCGACAATCATGACTTTGATGTCGAGGTCGAGATGAGGAAGCGAGAGCGCGCAAACCGGCCAGACTGGATGGGCTCAGATGAAAGCCAGTTAGACGACAGGCTGTACAGCTGGTGGAAAATTGGCGGTGCATGGGGAAACCAAGATCAGACGTCTGATTATTCCCCACCCTCTGATGACTTCGACACCACGAGCGTTGTGTCCATGTCTACGAATGCTTCGGAGTCAGAGTGGGAGGATTACCGATCAGAAGATGGACGTCGAACTCCTACCCAGCTCGAACCGTATGCAGATAGAGCAAGCCCACCACTCCAAGATCCCCTGATTGACATGAGCACACTCGCCCGTCTTCTTGACCCGCGCGATCGCGACAGTAGAGAAGAAGCCAGGATTTTAGCCGCTCATCTCAAAACAAATCAGGACAATCCACGGATCATGACGCGCAGTCGCTACCAGAAACAGGTTGAAAGGGAGAGATCCCGAATCATCTTCTCGTCCCGCCTCCAGCAGCTTAATGCTATGCACACAGGATCTGAAAGGCGGAAACCCACTCCTGACGAGGAAGCTGAACTCCTCGAGAAGCTCATCCTTTCGCGTCGCTCGGAAACATCGGGGAATGCGGATTCACATACGTGGGAATCGGGCGCAAGTGGCCTCGGCCCTAACGGTCCACCCTGTGTAGTCTGCCAGACAAGCCCACGGGCTATCATCACCTGGCCCTGTCGCTGTCTATGCATTTGCGAGGATTGTCGCGTCAGTCTTGCCATGAACAACTTCGGCAGCTGTGTGACCTGTCGCCAGGAAGTCGTAGGATTCATGCGTCTCTGGGTTCCATAATTCAACCCTCTCTCAGATTGCTCTCTGTTTTTGTAGCTCTGTTTCTTTTAGCATGTTTCTTTTGGTGTTTGGCTCACACATGTTCCATAATATTGAACGAATTTGTAATACCACATTTGCATCGTGACTTTTGCTTCGTGTGGTTCAGATCGGCATTTGTCGATTTGCTAGTTGCACACCTTCACAAGATCATCTATAGGCTTGTTCACACGATGATAAATTCAAGATCGATCATTCCATACGTTCATTTATCACTTGTCAACCTATCCAATCGTGATCTGCCGAAGTTGATCAACCACTTATCAAAAGAAATACTTCTTTCTTCCCGAATCTAACTCGTTCTGGTCATTAGGGTCGATTAAGTCGGCCAAGTCCTCCGGCTGTGGGCCAATGTTTTCTCTACTAGCATCCCCAATACCTTTCAGACATATCACTGGAGTACCTGGCTCCTTCTCGGCAGTACTCAAAATCGGTTTAAGTACAAAACGAATGGTCTCCTCGGGCTCAAAGGTGCGCGAATTCTTTTGAGCACGGGGTGGCGCGGGCCACAACGGGTTCCCAAATGGCCATTTCAATCAACATAATCCCCAAGCTGAATCTATCGTAGCTTGTTCGGAATCGGGTGATGGAGCCTCTTGAAGCTTGAAGATCCCTACAAATTGAGAGAGTACACCACGTACAATTCCTGCGGTATGACGAGGACACATAGAGGGACTTTCAAGGTTCTGTCTCTTTGGGTTCTGATGGCGTGGGTGCCTCAAGCCAGTGAACACAAAATGATTTGATTCTAAATATGAATGGTTATTCTCTTGCTGCTTGAACGGGGAGCCATGACTGGATGAGAAAGAGAAGATGAGTGATTGCTACGAAAAGGAAGAAGGGCAAGGTGTCTCGCCATTGGAACCACAGTGCATGGCAACAATGCCGTGGTATTAGTTCTCGTAGACCAGAGGTCGGTACTCAGCCTCCCACATTTGGATCCGAATCCACTCCCGTAGCTCCGAGTCGTCGGTAGGAATGCCCTCCGCTTGTGCTAGTCCCTCCTCCACAGCACACGAGATCACCGCCGCAGCAATGTCCACACTGATTTCACGCACGTCTTCCACATCGGGCAGCAACGGTTTGATGGGGTCTCTCAGTGCTGGTGACCTCGCTTTGAGTGCCTTCACAGCGGCGACTAGCATTTTCTTGGACACGAGACGGCACTGCGAGAGGACTGCTCCAAGGCCAATGCCTGGGAAACAAGTTGAGTTGTTGCACTCCGCTGAAATAACATGATTAATGTACTAATTCGTCATTGTCTAAGGCGAGACGAGTATGCATACCGATGTCATATTTCGTGCCCTTGTGGGTCACTGGCGGGAATGGACTGCCCGTCGCAACGAGGGCGCGCCCATCAGTCCATTCATAGAGATCAACCGGCTTCGCCTCGTGGAGTCGTGTCGGATTGCTGAGGGGGAATATAATAGGTCGTTCCACTATCCTGGCCATCGCACGAACAATATCTGCAGTGAATGCTCCGGGCTGGGTTGATGTCCCGATAAGTACATGGGGGTGGACTCTGTTGATGACTGACAAAAGATCTCGATCATCTTCAGACCACCCGTCATCATCTCGTGCAAATAATTTCTGACCTTCAGTCAGTTTATCACTAAGGGATTTTACAAGGAGACCGGGCTTGTCAATGCACCTAGTCCATGACAATGAAGAAAGGGTTAGCCGGGGTGATATCTCCCTGTCTCGCGGTTACATACCAGATCTGCTTAGATGCTTCATCCTTCGACTTTTGTGTCTCAGTAGCGATGGCATCCGAAATCTGGTCCGCAATTCCTGTACCAGCTGTGCCTGAGCCGAAGATGACCACTCGTACATCTTCCAGTTTGACCTGGCTTACTTGAAGGGCAGCCAACATGGCAGCGAGTGTGACACACCCCGTGCCCTGGATATCGTCATTGAAGCAAGGTATCTGTGACTGATATCGATTGAGTATTCTCCGTGCATTATTAAGGCCAAAATCCTCACTGACGATGTTAGCTTTGTGTCGAACACTAGAGAAAGAGCGATTTCTCATACAAGTGGATATAAGCCTTGGGGAATCTTTTGCGGGCAGCCTTGACAAAGTTATCCACAAATTCATCGTACTTCTCCCCTCTGATCCGATGCTGTCGGAGGCCTAGATAGAGTGCGTCATTGAGCAACTCTTCGTTCTATGGTTGGTGTCAGCAAAGGTCGATTGAACCGGAGAGTAGGGATGCCTACATCTGTCCCGCAGTCCAGTACAACAGGAAGCTGTCGCGAGGGATGAATTCCAGCACAAAGAGTGGTAATAACCAGTTTCGCAACCGAGATGAGGATAGCACCCACACCTTGGTCCCCAATACCCAATATCTGCAAACGGATCAATTGTAAGAAGGATTAAAACACTTATCCTTCTTCAAGTAGAAGTATATTTACCTCTTCTCCGTCACTAACGACGATATAATCAACATCCTCCTCAGTTCCAAACCCAGCGAGATACTCGTCGAAGTGATCCTGGCCATTGATAGTCAAGAAACACCCTTCCGGTTTCCGGAATAACCGGGAGTAGTTCTGGATCGCATCTCCTTCCGTGGGTGTGTATATCACGCTGAACATCTCCTTGAGATGGGTTTGCACGAGCTATTCGCAGGTTAGCAACGATGCACAAGCTGACGCTACCTTCACCGGGAGGTCAAAACCTTGTAGTATAACACTTCATTCTGTGCCTTCATGCTAGCTAGGAAAGTGTTCTTGGCAAGGTCATCCGCTCTGGTTTTGTATTGCTGATAAGCGCGCTGAACTTGCTCGTCCAGTGTCTGGATGTTTGGCGGGAGGAGACTGTGGAGCTTGAAAGTTGATCTCTCATTGTCCGGAAAGCCTGAGCCTTTGTTGAATTGCGACGATTTGAGGAGAGATGTTCCCTAGCTCTATGTTAGAGTTGAAGTTCAAGGAGAACTGAATGTCATTACCTTGTATGGGCAAATCAAGGGCCCCGCAGCGCGGGGTAGGTTGCGAAACTTGGACTTGAAGTCGGACATATCACAGTGAAGTGGAAGGGATGAAATAACAGTAATTGTAACTGGAGAGGTGAGAAAGGAATGTCCACCGTAGGGAGACGTAGTGCTGACCTTGGTGGGTCTCACTCGTCATGGCTATCAAGTTTTTGCCACCTGAGCAGAAAATGTACATTCAGATGCCTTTCTACTACGAGATAGTAGCTGAATAATCTAGTATACCGTTGATCTTTCTAGGAGGCTCAGTATACTGCTCCTTATTCAAACTAATAGCTCACTACTACTTCGAGCTTGTCTTGGAAATATGCCCGATCTAAAAGCGTAAAACAAGAGCCGAAGGGACAAGTTGCACTAGAAGACCAGGAGTAAGAATCCAAATACTATGGAAGACCCGGATGAGTACCCTTTCCAGAAGATAACCGTCCAATCACTAGTGATGACATTCAATTCCATCTTTCATAGTGTCGATTGGAGGTCTTATACTTCTCTTTTAGGTAAACCGTACGAACCACAGTTAGCCACTGCAAGGCGCAGTCAGATAGAACAAAGATCGAATCATAAGCATAAGCGAGTCACCTATACAAAAAAAAAGTAACCCATTCAGGGGTCTGGCAAAACCAGCCAGCAGTAGATGGAATTGAAGCCCATCTGTCAACAAAAGCCAGTTACAAACACTCAGAACAGCCTCATATTAGGTATAGATATCATTTACAGGACGTAAACGGCAGCAGCGGCAAGGGCAGCAGCACCAGCCAGGTGGCCCTTGACATTAGCAGCCCCGTTGAAAGCGGGCGAAGAGGAAGAGACAGGGGCCGAACCGGTCTTGGTCACCAGCGGGGTGGAGGTGGCAACACCCGAGGAGGAGCCGACGTGGGTGGACCCAGTGGCTATGGTCCTGGCGGCACTGGTGCTGGAGCTCTCAGTCTTTACCGTGGAAGAGGACTCGACGGCGCTGGAGCTCTCGCTGGCGGTGGTCTTAGCACCGGTCTCTACAGGGATGGAGCTTGAGGTGCTGGTGGTCTCGGGAGCGCTGGCGCTGAAGGAAGCGCTGGTCTCGATGGGAGGGATTGAGATAGGGTGACCAGCGGAGGAGCACTGGTCAACGACAACGCTGGAGACAGCTGGATGGGGTGGGGTTAGTGGGGTTCTGGGAGGATCAGATGGACGTTGCCGAGTCTGAACATACCGACTTGATCCTTGTGATCGCAGGCCTTCTGAACACAAGGGGCGATGCTGCTAATGAGCTCGGGCTTCTGACAGTGGCACTTGAAGTCGAGCAGCTCGGAGCAACCATCACCCTGCAGGGAAGAGAGGAAGCAGCTCAGCTAGAGGTAAGTGTTAGCGAACATGTTATTGTGATGTGGGCATCGGTTGTCCTCATACTGAGCAGGCGGGTACATTGGGCAGCTGGGCGCTGGCGAGGCCAGCGGCCACGAAAGCAATCAAAGTGGAGGTGAACTTCATCTTGATCAGATATTTCTGGACTAAGAAAAATGAAGATCTGAGCAGCGTGCCGGAAAAGACTGTCAAGTATCTGATAGCGAGTGCGGAAGAGTCGAGAATAGGATCTGGACTTGTATGGGTGATGCCCTTTTATATATAAGCTTTGCTCGTCTTCTGTAATCCACCTCCCTCACAGAGAAGCCCCTGTAGCCGGGTTGCACCAACGGATTGGCGCGTGGGACCATCACATGTCTCTGCTTGATGGGAGACAATCCACCGAAAAGCAAGTCGAGGCCGCGGTTGAAACAGATCCGTATTTTTTACGGACTGGAACTCCGGATGCTCATTGCATGGCCACAGCTGAAGGCTGACACCGGATCCTGGGTTCCCGTAGTCGATTGAGCATTGGAGCTAGGATGAGGTTGATGCTAATTTTTTTTTCCTTCTTTCTTCGTACGGCGTACGTATGCCCGCAGCGCCAAGTCGAGAGACTAGGACGAACGAGGAAGCCACTGGAAAAGATGGACCAGTGGTAACATTAGCACTACATTTCCCATTTGCAGCTAGTCATACGAGCAGGGTCCCTGGCTTTAATTTCCCCCGTGGCAGGTTAGGCTCTTAGTGACATCGATAGACGAAGGTACGATACAGGATGCAGTACTTTTGTACAGTGTAGGTTGTGCAGCATCCTGCGAAGAGCATTGAGTGAATTGGCTACAAGGCAGAACTCGGGCATATATCGGATACGGAGACACAAAAGAATAACCAGAACGATTGGGAATCCAAGGCCGAAAGGTGGGAACCCCATAGTGTCTGGCATTGAACAGGAAAATCCGGGGAAGATAGTTGGCCCCGGGCCCCAGCGTAGTATCGTAGTATCGACCTAGACCATAATGGGACTTGGTCCGACGCAATGCCCATCTAAGATAACCCGGATATTACAAGATGGATCATCGATTATCTTGAAATTGATTGAAGTAACGTTCCCTCACTTGAGTCCTCCCATGATAGGTTCTGGAAAGGGTCCAAACTCAGGAGACCACGATCAACAACCTGACGAGCTTCGGAAATTGTCCAATGTCGGGCTCATGGATGTCCAACGTTGTACGGCATAGCTCTCTGGGTCAGATCAAGGCCCCCCCCAAACAGACTGGGCGCCTCCAGAGTTTCATTGGGCTCACTGGTCATTTGATACCTCCTGGGATACCCACTAAGTAGCTATACTGTTGCCATCCTCCGAGAGACGAGTCGATCGTGGCATATTGTACCTGCATCGAAGATCGCTGTGAGTGGTAACCAAGTTAAGATGTTTGACTTCCGAACACTCCAATTTTTTTTTGTTTCGTTCCATCAAGAAAATGAATATTGGCACCGACGTCGGATGAGAACGGGCTCCAACACGGTCCCCCTTAGCCCACCAAAGTGAGATGTTTAGCAGGGGACTCAGTCAGGACACAGACTAGACCAGGTGCTTGGTCGTTGACCCAGACCGACAGTGTCAAGCACGCTAGCACTTCATGTATGGGGTTGGGAGAAACAGCCAGTAAACACCAGGAACATCAAGCACCGATCATATGGGGAAACAGGTCCAAAGCGTCGCCGAAAACTTTGGCGAATGAGACCCTGTGCCGGGTGAAATCGTGTCCAGCCCACTTGACGCCCATGCTAGAGAAACAAAGGGTGCAGTGGCCGGGTGAAATGTTTCAAGTAGGTTCTTGCATTCCTGTAAAAATAAAATGAGTGTGGAGGAGGCGAAAGACCGTAGCGGATAAGATCTTAAGAATATATGTATACTGCATCCTGCATATGCTGCTCAAGTAAGGCATGTGTCAACGTTGAGTAAAGAGATGGCAGAGATACAATCAAGTTGAGAGAAAGCAACTCGAAGATCGTGGGGTCCCCGGACAGACCCAGCGTGCAATCCGGGGATAACACGGACCCGAAATCACTGGTTCATCTCTCCTAGACAACGATAGCCATTCTCACATACCTTACAGTGCTTGGTTGAATAGCACCTTGAATTGAGGATCGACAGTCGAGGAGGCATTCTCTTTTCATTTGACCGAGAGGGTGCAAAGCTACCTCGGCTCACATGGAAGTTTCGAATAACAATTTGCATGAACGTAGACAGCAAATTAAATTTACAACTTTCAAAGCCTGGGAATAACCATATCTCATATCTCATCAATACCTCCTAACGCCCAATCCATATAGGTGTGTCCACGCCGATTCAAATCACAAGCGGAGATGTCCTCAGGATAACAATTCATCAATATGTGCTCGCTCGTTTGTATTCTGCCCCTTGAGAAGAACCGCAAGAACTTCAATGGGCGGGTTGAGCTTCAGCAGATTAGCGCGTCTCCAGCGCTTGACCCGAGCGATTCCAACGCAGGGCTAAAGAGAAAAAAAAACAAACAAGACCAGGTTAGATGACGTCGATGTAAAGAAGAACTTTCAGCGATCCAGACAACATACCCCGTACTGGCTGGAAAGATCAAAATGCCGAAGAATCTTTTCCTCTATATCCATGCCTTGCTGGTGGGCTGTTGAGATGACATTAGCCTCTTGATTTATATTACTGCCCCAAGTGACAGCTTAAACCTACCCCTAGGTGCTTTGCGAATCTGCTCTTGGACCTGCCAGTATCGCCAGATATCCTGCTTGTTCACCTTCAGGGCCCGTTTGTCCTCTTCGGATCGGGGCGCTTGGTGTTCGATTGAAGCTTGCCGTCGCACCGCTAGCTCTGCAACATGGGGCTTGGAGGGCTCATTTGGTGTAACGGACAACTGCTGGGGCTCTGGGGGGACGGAGACAGACTTGTCGGGGAGCACTGGGGTTAAGTCAAGGGCCTTGGCTTTGTGGGATGGTGTGGTGACTGGTTTGGTGACTCGACCCCCAAAGGACAGGGTTGACTGGCCGGTTTTATTTGCTACATGACGAGGCATAATGATGTCGAAGTAGTTGAACGTCAAGATCTGGGGATATGCAATGATTGAAGAAGTGTGGGTGGAGAAGGCGATGTCATGGTTGCACTGGCAACCACTTTGGGGGGGAGGCAATCTTTTGAAAAATCCGGAATGTAGTTTTGGTTTGATGGGTCCTTTTTTTAAATTTTTATGTTTGGATATCAAATTCAGACCGAAATCCATATTCAATCGCATATCACTCTCCAGTGCATGCAGATTGTCTTTATCTTCCTATTTCCCCATGTGTGATGACGATGAGGATGACATGCACATTGGAACCCTGACCGTACACTGTCCATCACAATCACATTTAGCTACAGATGTAGAGATCTAACAAGGTCTGGTAGATCTTCCTAATATTGTTAGAAATGTACTTGATCCAGAGATCGAATAATTTCGAAAGAGCTCAACTCCAAAAACCCTGAGACTCGACTTGTGGCTGTTGGGGGGGCTGGCTCAGTTCGCGCATTTCCCCACCACAACTGTACCTTTTTGGAAGCTCAGCTCCTCACTTCTCCCATCTCAACCCTCTAGATTCTATACCTCTTGGACAACGTACCCTTCTTGAGCTCTTCCAACTTCCGATCTTCAAGGAATCTCTATTTCACATACTTTAACCCAACCTACCGTGGAACCCTTATGATCCGTGCGAAAGGATCCGTCCACTCGCATATTCCCCACAACTCGACCAACCTCCGCATGTCCATGGTGCGACAGGCACGGCTGACTCGAGATGGCCGCCTTTGTGCGCGTATCAGGCCCAGCGAATGGCAATTTTCTGATCGGATATCCAGGCATTTCTGCGACGATGGTAAGCGCCTTGCGATTCATGCGACGATCCTCTGCTCACGCGGCCACATTGACTGACTATCCAAGCCACGAATTGAGGGTAAAGTTGAAATCAGACCCTGCGCCGGCATTACAGCCCCGGTCAATGTCTCGCTCGTCACGATTTCTCTCCTCCGCCGCGAGACAATTCACCCGTCGGCGGACACCTTCACAAAGAAGCGCCTGGCTCCGCCGCGGAAAGAGATGACCGATATCGTCGGCAAAGAGATGCTCCTATTTCGATGTCCTGCCGGCCGAGAATACGAGGAAATTATCTCTATGGATCTGCCCTTCGTTCTCTTTATTCCATTTGGTCGTGGGGGTCGTGATGCCTCTCGCCGTGTACCCCCGGCTAGTATACAGCTGCCCAGTCGCACCGCTGAAACCTACTACGAGATGGTGGTGACCGTCCAACAAGGGCAACAACAACAACACAAATACACCTTCCCCGTCCCTATCGCGCGCTACGACACACTCTCCACATTCGGCATGTATAATCGTCCAGAGTCGGCAGAGCGCGTATCGGATCATCTGGTCACATTAGCAATCTCACTACCACGGTGGTCTTATGGTCCTCTGGACCCTGTTAGCGTCTATGTCAAACTCTCACCGAATGAGAGCTGGATGAGCAAGGCGCGTAAAGTGACCATCAGCAAAATCACCATCGGTATCGATGAGGAAATCGTCTACAATCACGAAGGCGATGAGCCCCAACGCAAAGTCAAAGTCTTAGCCAAGAAAACGGAGAACGTTGGTGTTAAACTACCGCAATCGGGCTATTTAACGAACCTAGGTTTGGTCTTCCCCGCCAAGGACCTCCGCGACGCGGACGGATTCTTGCCGAGAAGTAGGGCGGCATTTCCAACGTACGGTGTGAGCGGCTTCACCACCACAGCAAGCCTATATAAAATCGAGTACTACCTCACGGTTCGAGTTCGTGTTTCCCTACTTTTCATACTGTCTCCTCCCCCAAACTCACACGCCGCAGGCCCACTTAACCTCCGCAAGAGACATTACCATTCGACAACCAATCGTGGTCTGTCCTCTCGACCACGCCGGCTGCAAAGAAGAAATGGAAGCGATCGAGCAAGCCGCACGAGACGCCGCCCATATCAACCCGGACAACCCCATGCTGCCTCTTCCAGCAATTGTACGACCAAACGACCACAACGCCCTCAGCCATATAGGCGCCGCTATTGTCGGCAACCAGAAGAAACCGTTGATTGACTGAGATGGGAGACAATCCCACTCGTCACAGCAACAATGATGAAACTTATTTAATAAATTCCCCCGTCTTGATACCGGACCTCCTGAAAGGTATTCCCACAAACGGGCACCGACGGCTGTCGTTGCTTTTGATGTCCTTGGCGGGTGTCAAGGCTGAAGGCTCCGCGACCACGCTATATCATGACATGTCTTACGAATGCATACGTTTTGGAGTTAGTTGCATGGCATTCCTGGCAGCTGGGCTGTTTATCTGTGGGCAAACCGGGGACCACGGGGGTGTTTGGATGACCCGTTAAAATTGCCTCTCTTGACTTCGCTCCAGTTTCTCCCTGCTACATATGTGCATTTGGTCTTGTTGGGCCATTTGGTGATTCTTTAATCCGCATATAGACGCATCTGTCCCAATGGTGATACAATTTGTATCAATCTGTACCCATGGACCTGGATCGATGTGATCTATGGGGCCATCGATTCAGAAAGCAGGAATCATCTAACCTCGTGGCTATGCTTATTGTCGTTTGGAATGTAGACTCGCTCCAACATGCCCAATTGACTTAAATCGATTGAATACAATCAGACTGTAAATTGTCAAGGGTATCCAGGTCGATGCAAATATTTTTCTTTCCACGGCTGTATTTAAGGTGAATTTGAACGGTGTTCACAGTCTATGTTTGATTTTTTAGTATAGGCGTTCGTCTTGCAGTCACTGAATAGGAGCCCTTCCTAGTCTACCATGTGCTTCCGTTATTTCTCTCTTCGGCTCCACGAATCTTCTCTCATTTGCTTGATATCTACTATGTTATAATGTTATACATGTAGCTTTATTTCCCAATTTCTAAAAACCCCATGGCAATGCTTAGCGTGTCTGCGTCAATCACTTGGGCTGTGCTCTGCTGTTGGCTTTCGTTCTCAAGATCTTGGAGACAATCCTTCAACATCTCAATTATAGTCTGATACTGCCTCGAGGAGGGTCCAAAGGTCTTGAGGGCATTCTCCAGGCTGTTCGATATCTATCTATTGTTATTTTCTGCATTGGATGTTTGTATTGGGCAATATACCTTGCGCAAACTTTCGTTATAGTCCACGATGTTTTGATTTCTTTCCTCCATGAGTAAAAATCTGGCAAAGATGTCTGGAATTTCGAAACTCGCTGAACACTCACTTTTGAGGGGCATCATCCATGACACACCCACAATATATATATCAAATTGACCGCTCTCGTCACCGCCTAGTTTCAACCAAATCTATGTTGTATGTTCTCTCTCATCTTGATCTACAATCATCTTTGCTAATGACTCCCAAACCCTTTCAAAGCCCAACGCCTCTCCCACCTCCCCCCCCCCATCATCATTATCATCACTAATCAGATCAGCAAACTCAACTAACTGCCTCACCATAGCCTACCTATCAACAGAAGAATAGTAGTAACCGAGATCCTACAAGCAACGTATGACACTGCACCGTCAACGCAATGATGAGTACATAACCAACCATTCTGGACTGCACGGCGCAGCCGGGGGACTTTCCTGGGGCGGTGGGATTATCTCGCAGAGTCAAACGGCGTGTTCTTTGCACTGCTGTACGCCGAAGTGCGTGCGTGGGGGCGCAGCCTCGGACGTCTTCGTGCAGGAAGCGGTAGAAGAGCATTTGGTCGTAGCCTAGCTAGAAAGTGACGAAAAGGGGATCATGGCCTTAAGAGGCATAACATTATGGAGAGGGAAGAAATTCTGTAATTTCATATTCTTCGGTGAGGGTTGATTTGGCGGCCTTCGTGTTGAAGTTGTTGATTTCCTAAGAGGATTTTGTTTAGGAGGACCATTTTGTACGAGGGGGGATGAAGCGTTGTTGTTTGAGACTAATCCTGCAAAGCCGTGGGTGCGGGTTATAGCAAGAAAGGTTTCGTTCATTGGGAGGGGGACGTTGGCTGGGGGCTCATTAGCCGTGGGAGTCGGACTCCTGCAGTCCACCATACTATGTTGCATGTTATATGGGCAGTTAGTTTTGGGGGGTATTTCGGTAAGAAACCACAAACCTCCCGTGTTTACTTCTTGCTCCACACAACCAGAAGCATGGCAATTTGTGAGATTTAAGAAGTTCGGCAATAGGGTATGCAATTGAGTAGTATATGATCTCCGAGGCAGGGTTTTCATGTACCACAGCAATAGTGGTGAGGTAGGGTGATGTGAAAATATCACCGAGTCAGATTCGTGCATTTGGACCGAGTAGAAAGCATCTATTGTGCCGATACTGCGAGAATCCCGTACAATTTATTCTCGGGCCCTTTCCCCCGACGCTTTTGTTCCATTAGGCTTGGTCAATGGAGGAGAGAATAAAACCTATCATGCAAAAATCCGAAACACAGCTCCACCAATTTAGTGCAGGTATGTTGATCTGGTAAAGTGCATGTTTCGGGTAGAGACCTCATCCCGGCAGTTATTTCTTCTGACATAGAAGACCCTTTCGGTATGAAGAGGTGTCTTCCTGTAGAATCTAGTCTCCAGACAGAGCAATAGACACATGCCTGACTGCGTGCTGGAATGTCGTATTTACGTCGACATTCACTACCACATGTGAGTACGGGATCTGCAGGGGCGGGGTATAGATTGCTTGCAGGCATATTGAACAAGCCTTTGCTGGCCTCATCATTCCTCTTAAATATAGCACTGGCAAGATTGAGGAGTTCGCAGACTGCGTCGGGAATGAAATGTGCAAAAACCAAAGAGCGACATTGAAAACCGCCCGCGACACGGAGCATTCCCGGGGCTTTCTCCGCATTTATGACTCCACAATTATTAACCCCAGCATATATACTTGGGAGTATCGCCGATGTTGCTTTTTGATCGGCATTTCACCAGTCATAGTCCAGCACACTCCTAGAAGTCTGTTCTTGGCAACCGAGGCCCATTCTACACCATACTTGAGATCTACATAGTCTGAGCCAACCTGGGAATTTCCACATGTAACCTCCCCACAAGTCGGAGAAAAGACATCGGGGTAGAAGATATAAAGAGGTATGTATTTTATCGACTCTGGAATTGAAATCTGTCAGTGGAACAGTAAAATGATTTACGTATCCAGGGGTATCGCAGTCGCTGCAGGCCTTGCTCTACTTGGGTATTCCTCCGCTGGTATGGCTGAAGAATTAAGCACAAAGCGTGAGTCCTCTGCTTCTATCTTTCAAGTTTCATCTCTGATCATGTATTTTATAGCAATCGCGGCAGACGGTACTGTTTTTGCTCTCAATGGGAAAACCGTTTCATACCGCATCCATGTGGACAACACCACTGGTGATCTCCTAGGAGACCACTTCGGCGGCTCCGTCGGCTCTAATATCCCCCTGGAAACGGTAGGCGACGTCAATGGCTGGAATAGTCATATAGGACGTGTACGCCGTGAGTTCCCAGACCAAGGCCGAGGGGATTTCCGGACCCCTGCGATTCGCATTCGTCAGTCAGAAGGGTATACCGTGTCTGAATTCCAGTATGTATCGCACAAGATCATCCCCGGAAAGCCTGCTCTGCCTGGGTTGCCAGCCACGACAGGCACAGAAGAAGATGCTAGCACTTTGGTCATCAGTCTATACGACAAGTACAGCGATGTGGCCGCGGACCTCTCCTACTCCATTTTCCCCAAGCATGATGCCATTGTACGCAGCGTAAATGTTACCAATCGCGGAGGGGCAAATATCACAATCGAGTCTCTGGCCAGCCTGAGTGTGGACTTACCGTTTGAGGAACTGGACATGATCAGTCTTCGTGGAGACTGGGCGAGAGAAGCGCATCGCGAGAGGAAAAGAGTCATGTGTGGTACCCAAAGCTTTGGAAGTTCTACTGGCTACTCTTCTCACCTCCATAATCCTTTTCTGGCGCTGACCGATCCCTCCGCCAGCGAGTCCTACGGAGAGGTATGGGGGTTCTCGCTTGTATACACGGGTTCATTCTCCGTGAACGTCGAGAAGGGCGCACAGGGCTTCACGCGTGCCCTTCTGGGGTTCAACCCTGGCCAGCTTTCGTGGACTCTACCGCCCGGCGAGACTCTTACTTCCCCGGAGTGTGTATCGGTATACTCCAAGGATGGCATCGGTGGAATGTCACGCTCCCTGCATCGCCTGTACCGCAACCATCTCATCAAGAGCAAGTTGGCCACCAGTGCTCGTCCTACTTTGCTGAACAGCTGGGAAGGGCTGTATTTCGATTACGACCAGAGTGGCATATACGACCTGGCAAAGGAAGCCGCCGAAGTGGGCGCCAAGCTCTTCGTTCTGGATGACGGTTGGTTCGGCAAGGAATATCCACGTCTCTCCGACAATGCCGGACTAGGCGACTGGATTCCAAACCCTGACCGGTTCCCGGACGGCCTGGAGCCGATTGTAAAGAAGATTACGGACCTAAAAGTGGCTAACTCATCAACAACCATGCGCTTTGGTATTTGGTTCGAGCCAGAAATGGTCAACCCGAAATCGACTCTGTATAAAGAGCACCCAGACTGGGCCTTACACGCAGGACCCTACCCTCGCACCGAAAGACGGAGCCAGCTCGTGTTGAACCTTGCTCTTCCCGAAGTGCAAGACTTCATCATCAAGGTCGTCTCTGATGTTCTCAAGAGTGCAGATATTAGTTACATCAAGTGGGATAACAACAGGGGCATCCACGAGATGCCCTCCCCAGCCACAAACCACGCCTACATTCTAGGCCTGTACCGCGTTTTCGATGAACTAACAACGCAATTCCCCGATGTACTCTGGGAGGGTTGCGCGTCGGGTGGAGGCCGTTTTGACCCAGGTGTTCTGCACTACTTCCCGCAGATTTGGACATCGGATAACACAGACGCAATCGATCGCATCTCCATCCAACTTGGTACTTCACTCGCCTACCCACCCAGCGCGATGGGTGCTCACCTGTCCGAAGTGCCGAACCACCAGACTGGCCGCACAGTCCCTGTGGCTGTCCGCGGACATGTGGCGATGATGGGCGGCTCATTTGGCTTGGAACTCAACCCAGCTACCATGAACGCCGAGGACAAGGCAGCTCTGCCGGGGCTCATTGCTCTCGCTGAGAAGGTGAACCCCATTGTTCTTAACGGCGATATGTGGCGGTTAAACCTTCCAGAGGACTCAAATTGGCCTGCTGTCTTGTTCATCGCCGAGGATGGGCAAATGGCCGTGCTGTTTGTCTTCCAGCTCGCTCCGAATGTTGACCATTCATGGCCGCGCGTTAGGTTACAGGGATTGGATGCACAGGCTTTTTATAAGATTGATGAGGGTGTAATTTACTCTGGTGGAACCTTGATGAATATTGGTCTGCAATTCCCCTTCAAGGCTGACTATGGCAGTCAAGTTGTGATGTTGGAAAAACAGTAGATAGCACCTGCAATATAGGCTGGATCGTTAATGTTTGAAAACACAAGGGCTGTGAGCAGTCAAGCTCTCTGATCAGTTTTGACAAATTACCCGATCAAAAATCAACTCTTCCAATGTTGATAACTGACGCGATGAGATCTTTGCAAAAGACATATCCACTTCAAGACTGTTTGTAAACTCATGTCGACCCTCCAAGAATGAATGGTCTGGGGATAATCTCCTTGGCCAACAGCACGTGGACATCATTCTGCGAGACGAAAAAAAATACACCCGCTTATCGATAAGCACACCTGGTTTAATCCCATCTGACTCTGAATCCGAAATTCCAGTCTCTAATTTCTTCTGTACAAACAATTCAACATGGCAGACGCAGACGAGGACTTGATTCGCACCCCCGAAAATGTCTCTACACAGCCCGAGGTCGATCTATCCGATGAGACGCAGGACTTCCGCTTCTTAAACCACTTAAACTTGTACGAACACAACCTATTCCTCCGACACACCGAACCAAATCTCCTAGATCGTATCTCCAATTACCCATTGCTTACCTTCAATCTCTCTACAGCTTTGCCGATTCATCACCCAGTATTCCGCGCCGCGGCGAGAAGGACTTCGAGCCCAATCCGACAGAACTTCAAGCCGATGTACTCTCCGCTTCGCGAGGGGCCATGCATAATGCACTCTCATATCCCCGTCTCCACGCTACCAAAACTCGGATCATAGCTTTCTACGCACCCGATGGGTATGTTCCTCCAGCTCAACCTGATCGCGCGACACCGAAAGCTGGCGGAGAAGACGGCAAGAGCTTGGAGTCTTCTCCCACCCCCGTGAGGCCTTTGCCCAATTCCGCCAGGATATCCCCCGACGCATGTGTCTACGTGCCCAGCCCAAAGGGTCAATTTTTTAAGACAATGGGCCAGGCAGACTCGTCAAGCCGTGTCTGGCTATTGCCAGAGGAAGCCTTGTATCTCATCGAGCGAGGAAGTCTAGATATCAGATGGCCTAGCTCGTCTGGGTCTACCGCGGGTTCAGGGGAAGAAGACCTCTCGGTTCCTATGAGCGTGCAGGCTGCATATGCATGCTTCATGGGGCGTGGTGGACTAACGCTGGAGCGTTATTCCGTTTATACTAGTCTCAGGCGCCTGGGTTATGCGCTGGTTCGAGCGCCTGGGTGGTACGATGACATGGAGCAGCCGGATTCGGATGTCACAGATGCTAGTGAAAGAATATCACCCAAGTTTCATGGTCCCGGTCTGGCGGGTTTGCTTGGGTTAGTTTTCAATTGGATCCATGACCCTCACTCGACGGCCTCTACGGCAACTGGCCCAATCATCGGCACTGGCATTCACCGTCATTACAGTGAGTCACACATATCTTTCTGCGGTGGCTATCTTAGCTCTCCTTACTGACAATCCCTTTTGAGTGGATGTATACCGCAAGCTCGCCATCATTCCATGGTACGACCCAGTCACCGCGCCGGAAAGACACCCCTCTGATACCACACCCCCCTTCCGCGTCGTGTTCCATATTTACAAGCCCTCAACTCCCTTCAAAAAGTCCGCACTTCCAACTCCAGACTTCCGCATCGCGGTCGTCAGCACACGCGACCAAACCACCATGCCCACTATGACACAACTCGGTGCCTTGCTCGAAAGCACGCCACTTGACCCCCCGCGCGGGGAGAAAATGGACCGTATGATGTACATGAGACTCCGACATGGATATCGTAATGTGGTCATGGCTGTCGTTGATCAGGGTGTGATCAGTTACTTACGAATTGCTGATTCGGCGTTCGGGAAGGAGAAGCTTTATGAGAACAAGGGTGGACCTCAAGGTCCTAAGCGGAATCGAGCAAACCAGAAGCCGAGGAAACGTTGAGAGAGTATGTTCATCAATTCACACCTTTGCGGATTACAGCTCCGCCGCTGGAAAGCGTCTACAAGGGCGAAGACAGCTATGGCCTGCAACGGAAATGTCGGTTGTGCATCAGGGACCGTGTATAGACCATGTACATGGCCTGTATATCCATCTCCGATCATCCCTGCTCGGCGGCGAATCACACTCAGAGTTGAAAATGCTCTCTGTAGTTGGTAGAGCAATTGTGGTTATCCTCGTGAGGATACCCTTCACTGGTCAACGCATTTCAACAGACAAAATCCTCTCGATTTGGACCCGGTCTGGCCGCACACACTGGAGCAAAGAATTACATATCCCATACTACGACCGACATAAGATTGCCCCAACATTTCCATTGAAAGAATGGCCCAATCTCGCCAGTTCGCATCCATTGTCTAAGCCATTGAGGAGGACCAAGCCATTTACATAGTCGGATTACTGCCTATTGGGGAGTCTACAACCCACAATATCACTGGATCACTAGTCCTCAAATTCTCTGAAAAAAAAAATTAATTTCCACGAATTCGAATACCTGGAGTCTTGCGTGGAGCAAGCAACCATCCAGCACATTCATAACAAACCGTATCCCCCACTCAGAGCCTGTACATCTCACTCTTGCTCCTGGCCCCATCAAAGACGCAAGTATTATCCAGCGGACCGTACTGCCTAGTAATTACCTTCAATGCCTCCTGCGCAACCAAACCCCCTGTAAACGAAGAGATGTTATGTAACTCGCCGCCCTCAGCCCGACGCAGTTCCTTAATCGTACGTGCGATCTGCGCGCGCGCCTCGTGGCAAACAGCCGATCCATCCGCCGCGGTCAGAAGAGCCAGGATGCGTTCTGTGTGGCTGTTCCAAAGCCCATCGTCGTCAACAGAGCGGTCCTTTTCGAGGCTGCTGGATTGGATCTCGTCCACGACCGAGTCGAGGATCTGTGTCGCGATGAATATCGGGATCAGCGAGTCCGGGTCATTAAGTTGGTTGCGGATGGTTTTCAGTGTGGACGCGTCGCTGTCGATGCTTATCTGCGGGATGTCGCGGCCGAGCACGACTTTGATGTGCGCAGCATTTTTACAGAATACTTCGATGTCTCGGTCTGGGATTGCGGGTGCTTGGCGTTTAAGAGTGGCTTCGAGCTCGCGTACGATTACTGTCACTTCTTCCACATCTTGTCGCGCTTTGGCCTTGTAGATGTTTTGTAATGACACGTAGTCTGCGGATTGGGCTTTCATGTCTGGTAGGGAACCGGGGAGGGGGAGGACGCCGTGAGATGCGTGGAAGGTTTTGATGGCTGAGGCAATGATCCAGAAATCTTGGGATGATGATGACAGCTGCTGACACTGGCTCATCTCGAAGATCTCGCGGATCGAGCTGCGTAGGCTGAACGGTGAAATTGTCTTCAGGACAGCAGCGACGGCCTCATCGAAGTTCTCCTCGCCACCCTCTGGATTAGCAGTGCGTGTCTGGGACCGCACAAACTCTCTGAACTCGGTCTTCTCTTTGTAGTTACTTGGTGCGTTGCCTTTGTGAGACTGTTTCCATTGCTCCAGGAAGTGAAGCAGGAGAAGTATGTAGGGAACATGGCCGTGCTGGTGGTCATCCAGAGTGTCCAGATTGTCCAAGTGGGCTGCGGCAGCGACAAGCTCAGGCCAGGGATTTAGCAGACGCAGGTCCTGGGTTGATTCCGGGTCCGGGTGTGTCTCAACAATGGGGAATTCAGCCGGCAATTGCACGGAGAAGGTGGAGAAGAACCCAATTGAGTGCAGGTACAACACAGGGATACCCAGCTGCCTTGCCTCCTGGATCAGAGGTACCAGTGTCGAGCGTCTCATAGGACCGGAAATAATCACCAGCTTGTGCTGGGGCAAGAACTCAGGATCCATGAGAAGCTCCTCAACGCGCTGTCTCAGAAATTAGTCAATGAACATTTGCTTTTGCAGACATGGAACATGATACCTTGAGATAGTATTGTCCTTCCACGTCTGGATTCAGTTCTTTCAGCAGTCGGCAGGTTTCCTCGGCACGGGACTTGCCTAGTGACTCTTCTTCCAGGAAGAAATTGACCCCTAGATCTGACTCGGTGACTATTGCCGGGTCGACGATGGTGAAGCCACCGATTCCAGGCAGCACTAGGTTTTTGAGTGTTTCAACGCCAGCAACCCCGGCGACACCGGTGTTGTATTGGCCGAGAGGGCCATCGGAATTCACTAGCAGAACGTGAGAGTCTTCAAGTGCTTGCTGGCCAGTTGCTGCCCACAGGCGGAGCTGGCGATCATATTTGCGCTCCTTGGAGGTTGGCCCTGTCAGGGCGGCGGGGAAGGCATCCGTCATGGTGGATGTCAAGTAGTGCGAAGGAAGGGAGCTTTACTTTGAGGCTCAAACCATTGCCAGTTTATAGGTCTGTGATCCCTCTCCTGTGGCTTAGAGTCTTTGCACTCCAATCATGCATGTACCCAAATGATGGAGTAGTGGATGTTGACTTGTTGATGCGCGACTCTTTTTAGTAAGCGCATGTCATGGCCTGATAACCAAGGCTGCCACCCAGAGCCTCAATGGATCTTAATGGGATTTTGCTCTTTACATGCAACTTGCTGGACCCCAAGATGCTTTGCCTTCAGAACAAGAACATCAGGCCATTTTTTAAAAAAAATCTCTGTGGCCAGAATAGAGAGTCCCTTGACAATCCTAGTAAAGTGGCTCTCACGGGCTCGTACGAGGCATAGTCCGCGCAGATGACTATCTCTTTGGTTCGCGACAATTCAGAAGAAGCTGTCAGTTGTATGAGGATTGGAATTAATAAATATCATATTACTCCTCTAGAGAAGGATGTATTTGAGAGCTAGGAGAATTCAGGTTGAGGGCCTACAAATGTCCAGCATCTCGTCCCGGAGTAGTTGGAACAAAATCGACTTGGGGTTAACATGATTTCGTTTCAAGTTCACAAAAGAAAAATATCAAGGCAAGCTACATTATACAACGGTATCAAACTCCAAAGCAGAGCTGGAAGATCATCTTCTTCCACAAGATCTAATTATTCCAATCGAAGTTGGCCATTGTTATCCTCGCTTTTGCTACAACCCCATTTGTCCTAGGAGAGTATCTTTCTACCTGCATCCTTCCCTATCTCGAAAAGAAAGAATGGAGAAAACTAGCTTAAAACTGGCAACTGATACTGTATATGCTTGGTCCATGACCAACTACTACGACTCTTAGTTCCAAGTTCCTCCGAGATGATGAAACGAGGTGCTGGTTGCCACAGAGAAACAGGTCCAGCCAGCATCCATGTTGCTTTGGAATATTTTAAATGTACAGAGTCTCTTTGTTTGGCCTATTGCTATGGTGTTTAAGGGAGGTTTTTTTTTAAAAAAAAACAAAAATTGCAAAAAAAAATATAAAATGATGTTCTTGTCTGTGATTGCATCAAGAACAGAGAGAGGACAACTCCGAACTCGGCGAAACCGATCTGATAGGGGTTGAATTTCCTCTCTTTTATACAATTTCAAATGGATCATTCTTGGTAATCCTGATTGTGATCCTGATTTTATGTAGAATTTACCTAGGCCGGATTTTTAGAGAAAAAAAAAAAGTACACCTGCAAGCGCTAAACCCCACAACTGTAATGTGACGTTATAGTAGAAGATTTCTACCCAAGCCAACGTTATATTTTGCTGAATTTCGTTTTCTCTCTATTTTTCTTTTTCTACAAAAGGCTACCAGCTCGGCCCTAAAGAGCGTCGGTAACGAGTATTCCATGCTCCAATCAGCCCTCATCTCCCCTCTTTTCCTCTGCCGTAGGCTTACACTCCCCACCATCCCCACACTTCTTCACAGCACTCTCCAAAGTCCCCAAAGACTCCAATCCACCATGTCCGCCGTCGAAGCAGCCAAGCGCGCCGCCGCCAAGGTCGCCGTTGAAAAGCACTACCCCAAGGATGCCCGCTGGGTCGGTATTGGCAGCGGTACGACGATCGTGTACGTCGTCGAGGCCATCAAGGGCCTCGGCGTTGACACCTCCGCCACAAAGTACATCCCCACCGGTTACCAGTCCAAGCAGCTGATCGTCAGTGCCGGATTGACCGCTGTTGAGTACGACAGCATTCCGCTGGGCACCGTCCTCGACGTAGCGTTCGATGGCGCGGATGAGGTTGACGAGGATTTGAACTGCATCAAGGGCGGCGGTGCATGCTTGTTCCAGGAGAAGATCGTCGCTATGCAAGCAAAGGAGTTTATCTGTGTCGCCGGTGAGTCCTGATCTGATCTGACTTGATCTTGCTTCATTCTGCATTGTGGTTATGGGGTGTGGGCTGGGTGAATCTCGGAAGTAGACCTCTTCTTTTTGTTTTTTTCCCCCCCGCTTCCTTCTCTTTCCCCTTTGCCAGAAGACTACCACCTCAACTAACTCACGCTCGCAATGCTTAGACCACCGCAAACTCCAACCTCGCCTCCTTACAAACTGGAAATCAATCCCAATCGAGGTCGCCCCGATCGCCGCCCACCGCGTTATCCGGAAGTTGAAGGAACTCGGCAGTGTCAACCCCGCCATCCGCCCCTCCGCGAGCGCCAAGGAAGGTCCCCTCAAGACCGACCAGGGCTTTTTCATTGTCGATGCTCCCTTCAAGCCGATGCTGATCAAGGCCGATATTGAGGCTGGCCAGGATGGCAACGGCAAGGATGGTGTGTGGGCAGTTGACGTGTTGGCTCGCAAGATCAAGGAGATTACCGGTGTGCTTGAGGTCGGTGTGTTCCAAGGCCAGACCGGTCCTCAGGCTACTGCTGCCGGTGGCATTGGTGGTGAGCGGCCTGTTGCGGCCTACTTCGGTATGGCTGATGGGACAGTCGCTGTTCGCAAGGCTGAGTAGATGTCCAGTAGTTGGACTTTGGGAGTCGAACATGAGACTACGTAAATAATGTAGATGATACCAAGATTTTCCTTTTCGTTAAACCTTGGAAAACTGCTATAGTTGGAATTGAATGAGCGAACG